AAGTTTTATGTTATATGCTTCCATTTAAAAATTACACCGTTTAAAAATTACCCAAATATTATGTAATATTTTCTCACCTGCGATCCCCGAAGGCTGATTAGTAATGTTTGAGTGCATTGGTTTTTTATGTATGTATGTTCATTTATTCTTATTATTAAATAATGTTCTTCTAATAAAAGTGTTCTTTATTGACAATTCTTTGTAGTTTTTAACCGTGTTTCAATTTTCTTGTTGTTCATTTTTCTTAATCCATTATATACTAATAGAGTAGAGGTGTTATTTCAGTCAAAAAAACAATAATAGCTAACTAAATTGTAAAGCACCAAAATATTATATTTTTTTAAAAGGTGATGGTTATAATTACTTGTTGACTAAAGTGTATATTTAATTCCATTTAGAAAAGACTTGTGCGAAAAAGCAATTCCTCAGTCACACAGACAGTACACTTTTGTTCTATGATTTACAACTTCACCCTAGGAATGTTCATTTTTGAAAACGTCCTCAGTGAGATGATGAAAATGAGGCATAACACGGTATCCAAGCCAAAATTTTGTATAATGATTTTAGAAAATACTTTTATATCAATCATTCTTAAATATGCTATGTTTTGGAAAATTTTGCTGGAAATTATAATCTAATTTGGTTTAATGAAAATCAGCTGACATTTGCCAATGGATACGAGACACGCAATCAAAGTAGGCAAGCTATATATCACGCAATATCTCATGGGGGACCCAGTAATTTGTACTTTTTACCGCGCGCTAATCAACAAAGTAACCGCCACTGCTCGGCACTCGGGGCTCGCAGTCGCAATACGCATCGTAGCCGAGGTTGTCTGCAGTGACAGACGACGGGCGCTCGCAGCGCGATCCTACGTTATCTAAGGGAACTAAAGGCGCTTGAAGAGCGCCTAGCGTCATCTAACATAACTACGTGGACCATACACTAACGCAGAACCAGTGTATTGTTAACAAAGCGACCGCATAGTGTTCAATCTAGTAGAGGTGTATAGTCAATGCTCACATCAACTAAGACAAATTTTATTTAAAACCTGGCTACAACTTTAACATGGGGATGGAATGTCTAGTTGTTTAATGCAACTACAATAGAGATATTAATTAAAATAAGCAAAAATGAAGTATGATCAATGAATGAAAAGTATGAGATTTGCATGTATAATTTTCATGGTAAGGTAACTGTTTTGGTAACGTAGCTTTGGGTAACTTTTCTTCAGTAGTATTCTTGCCCCGTTGCAAAGTACGGGGCAGAACAACCAGTATCCATAAACAAGCGAGCTACAACAATTTTTACTTATTCTCTATAGGAATAAAATCGAAATTCAAAAAGATATTCAATTAACTAGTACAACGCTTCAATGTACAAAATTATTAGTTTTGTTTTTTAGCCCTACAAAATGGTTTGGAAATAAACTCCAAAAGAACTATGTTTTGAAGATCAAAAATTGGAAAAAACCTTTTATTATCCCATAATGCCTCGTTCCCATAGGCCAACAAGCTGAATCGATAAATAAATAAATAACTACCCCCGCCGCAGCAATCCTGCGGACTAAGCGAATTTCCATTTAACTGGCTGGATTTCTACCTAAATATTTCCTTAAACTAGTTACTTTTTATATTATATAACATTTAATTTTAATGAGTACTTAGGTTTGCTGCTACAGGGAAGGTAATTCTATTGGGTTTAGCAAATTTCCCTATAGGGAAGTAGCTATTACTGTAGGTCTCATGGTAAGACCTATGCCCGGGACTGATTTACTTTTTCATTTTGATGTCCCCCAGAGGCCAAAAACACCATTCATTCAAATTTATAAAAGATATAGCCTATATATATATATATTACTAAGTAAATCAAAATACCACAGTACCCAAAAAAAGGGTATATATAATATTCAGGGTGCTCAGTTGTAACTGCACCCTGTTGGTAAACTTTATAACTTTTTAATGCTATGTAATATCATAGAACCAACTTGTGTAGTTGAAACAGCTGACAAAATTCTTTTATTCCTTTTAAATATGATTACTCATAAGGTTAACACGGGAAAATCCAGAGCCACTGGGGCGGAGCCCGAAAGGACTTTTGAGATAAGAATGCGTCTATATTTTAATCAGGAATGTGAGCTATCATCACACCAAATTTCAGACCGATTCGACCAGTATTTTTTTTGTTTACTTGTCACAAACATAAAACGAACATACATACATCCATACATCCGAACTTTCTCATTTATAATGAGTAGGATATATATAATATTCAGGGTGCTCAGTTGTACTTATTTACAACAATAATTTAATATCTACAGTCCATTTGTAAGGTTATGTATGGATTCAGGGTGTCTACCAGTAAGCTATTTGAAAAATCGGTGACTTTTGGGGGCTCTATCTACAAAAATCAGTGACGTCGAACTAAGTAAATTTTTGGGAGTTCATTTTATATTTGCTGTTGAGGTAAAAAATATAAGATAGCATGACAGGTTTTTAAGTCACAAACAACTAGGCCTAATATAAATTCAGGATTTTAATCTATACTTATAAAAGGCAAAGCCCTCACTGACTCACTCACTCATCACTAATTTTCCCACTTCGCATTTACAGTCCCGGCCACGTAAAGAGAGAAAATGTCCAGGTAGACCCGGTCAGGCCTAATCCGCCGTTGTCAAAACATAGCTATTGTTTTGAGACCGAGGGCGCGCGCTACCCCATCCCAGCGGTCATTGCTACTGCCTCCCTTTAATTCTTAGAAATAACTCGGGCCAGTACAAATTCTATAAATCGAACAGGTGATCGCCTAATTAAGTGACAGGTCATTTTATTCACAAAGTGAAGACGAATATCACAAAATTTGAATCCCAATTCTACGTCGCTTCGTTGATTGGCTAGTCGATGTTGAGAAGCAGCAGGCAATGACCGCTGGGATGGGGTAGCGCGCCCCCTCGGTTTCAAAACAATAGCTATGTTTTGACAACAGCGGATTAGGCCTGACCAGGTCTACCTGGACATTTTCTCTCTTTACGTGGCCGGGACTGTACCTAGGAGGCTGAAATTCGGTACACCGATTCTTTGGGCATTAAATAGGAAAACTAAATAGTTTTTATTCTGATCGGGCTTTCGGGCTCCGCCCCAGTGGCTCTGGAGTTTCCCATGTTTACCTTATGATTTTTCATATTTAAAAGGAATTAATTAATCTTAACAGCTGTTTCAATTAAACAAGTTGGTTCTGTTCTATGATGTTCAATAGTATTAAAGTAACAAGTATTACCAACAGGGTGAACCACTATTATTTTTTTTTTATTTATGACAACAGCTAATTTTCAACCAAAAGGTGAGTGAGCGTAGCGAACGAACTTCAACCTGGAGGCGTGTTAGCGTAGGGAACGAGCTAACCTGAAGGCAAGTGAGCGCAGCGAACGAGCTCCAACCTAAAGGTGAGTGAGCGTAGCGAACGAACTTCAACCAGGACGTGATTGAGCCATGCGAACGAGCTCATCTTGAAAATTAAAAAGCTAACCGGGGGCAAAGCCCGCGGGTACAGCTAGTGTAATATAACTCATTTAAACATATTGTATGAATCGACCATGGGATTTAAGATTGAATTTAACCACGGATTAAAACGTAGACATTTAATCCAACACACAACTACACAGTTACTGTTGGAAGTTTGAAGGATTTTTAGTATTCAACAAACGCAAACTTTCAATGTCTTCTAACTAACTACTCTCAGAACTAACTGCACTTGCCTTGCACAAAACGTCTGAAGAACAACTACAATATTCAAACAAAACCTCTACATAGTGTCTCCACACGCAGAAAACCAAAATTCCACTTACAGGGTCGAGAAAATCCCCGTCTATCCCGCTTTACTGTAATGAAAAATTCCGTTTAATCCCGCATGATTTTTTACGTTCTGTCCAGGGTGATCAGTATATTGTAACAGGTCTAAATATCTCCTAAAACCTTTCAACAGTGCTGTGGTAGAATATTTTAAGCAATTGGTGTTAGTTTTAATCCTGAAAGCGGTATAAAAAGAAAAAAGAAGCTAATCGTAAGAGCCGATAGTCTCGTTTTATCCGCATCCCGTTTTAATCCAGCACATGGTCTAAAAAGTCCTGTTTTGGGAATAAAAATGCCAAAGCAAACGAAAATGGCAGCACGTGCAGCCGCGCACTACCACTAGCCGACAAAACGGCGGCAGCGGGCAGATATTACAACACTGAGACTGAACGTATAGAGAAAACAATCTTTTGTAAATTGTGTCAATGTTTTTATATGGATCCGTATCAACTTTCAATACGTTTGAATCCATTAATATATTTTCATAACCGCTTTTTTTCTTTTAAAACGAAGAATCACGCCTAAATAAACTTATATCTTACTGGTTTTCTACCACAAAAATAGGCGTGAAAGGATAATTAAGTTAAGTTATGTTGATCGAAAAATTATAGTTTTTCAGTTAGCTACATAAAACTAATGCACAGATGTAAGTGTTTGTTTTTATATAAAATCAAGTGTATGGAACCGATATTTTATATGAGTTATTTATCTTGGTTTACGTACATGGAATTGAGGTTACGGCTACGTTAGTAAGTTAGCATTATTTGCACTATATTTTCGTGCCGGCAAAACACAGACCGGTTTCTGACTCCATAAGAGACATTGCAAAATTTGTCTTGATACTGGAACTGGCACAATAATTTTGGTAAATATAGTAAATTGTTGATACATGGCAAGTTTTGTCTAAAGATTTGGTTTTGTCCCAAAAATAAATGAAAATCTGTAGGTGAACATTAATTTAAGTGACATTTTAAGAAAATTCCATGACAATAGGGGACATTGGTGACTTTTCCAGAACTTCCGTGACAGGTAGACACCCTGAGGTCAGTTCAATGGTAACCATATTGCTGTAAATTTACTAAACGTTTTTACAATCCCACATTAGCTAGTAAAGAAAGACTAGTAACTAAGTTGACAAAGTAATAAACATACCGTGTGTTTCTTTGGCCATTGTGGACTTGGCGAATGAAGATAAAAACTTGTTGTCGACTGCTAACTTGCAAGCCATCCATGCAATGGCACTGGCCGCCTTCTGCATCTTGACTGAGTCTCGCTCTCTTGAAGTCAAGACAGTTCACTGACCTGGGCAAATTGAATGTCTTAGTTATGTATTATAGGCTACATAAGGTGTAAATAAATCACGTTTGTGAGTTACCCAAGCCAGTCAAAATAAGGTCAAACGGATAGAGTGATGAAAAGTTGCCCTCTGAATCAAGATATTGCAATATTAAACACCATTGAGTTTAGTTCCCTATTGAGTTTTAAATAAAATGAACATACACAAACAGATTATAAGTCGTGTTGTGTGACTGCTAATATGCCAATATAGAAGGAAATTTACGGTATGTTTAAAATAAGGAACCATGTTCACAGTTAAACGATACAGACTAAGGTTTGCTGCTGGAAAGACCCTTCTAGACGCTAAAAATACTACCGTCACAGCAAACCTACAGACTACATGAATTTCCACTAACCCGATTAGATTTTTACTACAATGTTTCCTTATACTTGTCAGAAGTATTGTCCATTAAATAACATTAGATTTAGTGAGTAATTAGGTTTGGTGCTACAGGGATGGGAAACCTCGCCGTAGCAGTCTTACATTGTGTTTTTATCAAATGTTAATAGTACTAGATGTAATGAATAAATTGCCAAATTTGACATAAATATATTCATAAACAAGCAAACTACAACAGTTTTCCTTTTCTCCCAAAGAATAATATTGGAATTTTTTACGTACAGCCAATTTTTTGAGGCTAGTGTGGCGAATCAACAAAAATGTCGACCTCTGAAACACATTTAATATATAATTTGGAAAGTACAAAAACGTTGTTTTATTTAAGCTATGTTCTTACAGACGATGAAAAATTAGAATCCAATGTTGTCAGGCTGGTCACACAAATATAAGCTTTGGAGTTTTAACTGATCGGTCTTGCTTACACGTTCATGCCAAATTTAATCAAAAACGGACCCAAATTACTTGAGTTATCATACCATGTTCACTGACACAACTATATTAAGTAAGTTTGAACATTAATAAACTGAGTAGGTACCCTTTTACACTATAATTATTTATTAAAATAAATAAATGCTTTAGGGTCTATATTTTAAATTTTTTTATAGTGTTTTTGACCTTAGGGGACATGAAAATGAAAATGAGATGGGTCCTGGGCCTAGATCTTACCATGAGACCTACTATAATAGCTGCATACCTATAGGGAAATTTGCTAATAGAGTTCGAACCCAAACACGACTTATGATCCGTTTTTTACAATGTAAACATGCAAGTATTCTTAATGAACGTGTAGGCTAATCTGATCATATGATCCATGATTAAGATCTAACCCAATATAAGATTCACTCACCCAATATGGCTGCTTGTTCTCTAACAGCTCGTAGCTGCGGGCAAGTAGACGAGTCTCTAACAGCTCGTAGCTGCAGGCAAGTAGACGAGTAGGTTCTGTGGTGCTGCAACACCCCAAGGAAACATGGCGATCAAACATCCTCATCAAGAAACTAGAGAACACTCCAGGATCGATGCTGTATCTCCTCCAACCTCCAACATCGTCCGCCACACCTGTAACACAACACCAGATGATTAGTATCGTCCTTGACGATTGATGGAACTAGTAATTCCATACTCAGGTTTTATTTGTAGTTCGTTTTTAAATCCAAGAATGGAAGGTTAGGATAATGGAATGGTTTGGCTGGGGTTAACGATAAGAGAAAAAAAGTCTAATAATAATTCCTTATACGCAAACTTATCAACTGGTAACGACCAATTCAACTGTTTGTCTGCCGACCTCCACAGGAAATTCACATTCTTTTCTTAAATTAAGCTGAACCAAACAATCTGCTAACGAAGAGTTACAGATTGAAAGATTTTGAAAACGTCAGACAGTTCTAGGAAAATAGACAACATAAGTTAAAAGTTAAAGTCTCAAACTGTATGTAATTTTCTTTCACATCCTAAATCAAATTAAAAGTTAATTGTACCAATAACGTAAACAATATACAATGGACAGCAAAAAATAAGGTTGGATCAATCAATAAAAATATCCTTTTCGTTTTTTTAAATATTGTAAATAAACTGTTTCAATACAAAAGTACCGTAAGTTATGGTATTGCTAAACTAGGCTGACATAGTTTAGTTGATCCTGGATAAACACAGTCGGAGCTCACAATAGACCAATCTAAAAGGTAAAATGTAACTTCTACCTGAGTCGTACGCACCTTGTGCCAGTGTGCCATTTAACTCTATTCAGAGTCGGCAGCAGCAAGGCCAGGTAGGCTACAACGAGATAAAGCCCGTTACATTGTGCCAACTTACAAATATTTTCGAGTTTTTATAGTATTCAAAGTTATTTATTAGAATCTGTTTTAGCGTAATCAATTTTAAGCATCAAGATTAACAAATTCCATATTAAATAGGACCGGGTCGGGGTACAGTTTCTTAACTGGGCTATGCCAATATCGATTGAAACTATCGAATTGAAAATATTGTAGGCCTATAATAATTTATTTATTTATTTATTGCTCTTTACAATTTTTACATTGTGTAGCATTTTTACATTGTGTGATTCTATTATTTATAATTACATAGGGGTTATTTTATAAAATTACACTTTATATTAAATTTAACTTTAAACATAATCGATATTTTTAAATACATCTATTACAAAATTAAACTATCTTAACCTAACCTAACCAACCAAACTTGCGGCCATGGGAACTTATATTGATTTATAAGTTATACAAACAAAAACTAGATTTTTAGCTAGGCTACCTAAAAAAATTGTGCAATAGTTATTTTCCAATTTCACAATAGTCTAAGTTAACTGAACTAGTGTAATGCTTTTAAAATCCAATAATTACTTGTTAACACTATTATCTCAGTAAATAATAATATGAGTAATTATAAATGCTTGATTTATTCTAAGCTATTTAAAGTGAATATATCAGACTCACCTTATAGGTTAATTACAAGAAAACGACCGTCTGCAGAGTGCACTAGTGCAGTGCAGACTACACTTCCACTTCCACGCTTCCACCACTACACTACGAAGTCGAACTTCGAAGTCGAAGTGTCCGTCCACTCCAAGTACAACTCCAGTCCGCACAATTTTTATTTCAGCTGCAGTTATTTTAATAAGAACAAAACGAGAGCATCCTATTGGCTGAGGGAACACCATTAGCGCAATGAAACGGGCTGATGCTATCGGCCTCGGTGGTCTAGTGGATAGCGTGCCGGATTTCTAAATTTATGGTACCGGGTTCGAAACTCATCGGGTGCACAAACTTTTTGTCTAAGATTTTTGCATTATCAGCAAGTTTGGTTAGTTTTGTTAGGTTATAACAGTTAAATTTTATAATTAAAACCTTATAAAATTGAATTCTAGCTATTTATAGTTTTATTTTATGAACAGAACTATTTTTTTGATTAGTAAACCTTCATTCAATTTTTTCATTATCAGCAAGTTTGGTTAGTTTGGTTAGGTTATGACAGTGTAATTTTAAAAAATTAAAAAATATTAAATTTAATTTGAGGCGTTTATAGTTTTATTTTATGAACAGAACTATTTTTTTCTATTAGTAAGCCATTATTCAATTTTTTCATTATCAGCAAGTTTGGTTAGTTAGGTTAGGTTATGACAGTTTAATTAAAAAATTAATTATATATTTTTTTAGTTTTAGGCCTATAATAATTTTTTTTTAATTTCTAATTTTTAAACTCTTATTTTGTCCGTATTAAAAAACTGCAGCTGAAATAAAAATCGTGCCTCCAGTCCAGAGCTGCGGCCATGATGATGATGGATTTTGTTTGGTGCAATTCCAGTGTTCCAGTAGTCCATTCCCATTGGTTAGTATGTCTGTTGTTTTCACCATCTAGCTTTTTAGTGCTTACTAAGGTAGGGTCATTGATTATATATCTTACAAAGGACAGGGGGTTATACCATAGATAAAACATAGGAACTATGTTTTATCTATTAATGATGTTTTTATAATTATATACAGACTATCCCAAAAGTCCCGGACCGGTTTAATATTTTCTAAACGACAACAGATAAATCAATAAGATTTTGTACATCAACACCACACCTAAAAATCTACTTTTTTATGGAAATATAAATTTTCAGTCACATCATGGGGATGTCCCGCAAGGAGTCAGAAGGAAATCTTAAATAGAAGCATAGGTTGACATGTACATCAAATTAAAGGTCTTTACTAGCAGAATATAATGCTGCAAATTTGAACTCAAACGGACAACCAAGTCAAGAATGACAGTGGTTCAAAGATTCATTTAATTTGCATTTGGGGTCACAGCCCTAGGAATCGGAAAAAAATTTTTAACGTAAGCATAGGTCGATGTGCACATCAAATTAAAGGTCTTCACTAGTAGATTACAATTCCGTAAATTCAAGCTCAAAAGAACGCCTGAGTAAAAAATGGCAGTTGTTCAAAGATTCAAAATGGCAGGTTCAAGAAATCTTTGAACGGCCGCCATTTTGTAACGGATGATCCTTTCGAACGCGGTTTCCGGCATTGAACTCTGCTAGCTAAGCCCTTTAAACTGATGTGCATATTGACCTATGCTCCTATTTAAGATTTCCTTCTGACTCCTCGTGGGACGTCCCCATGATATGACAGAAAATTGATAGTTCCTTAAAAAAGTAGATTTTTAAGTGTGGTGTTGATGTGCAAAATCTTATTGATTTATCTGTTGTCGTTTATAAAATATTAAACCGGTCCGGGACTTTTGGGACAGTCTGTATATTGTACATAAATTATAAGATAACGGTATTTCGAACCAGCTCACAACGGCGAAGAAGGGCCACCAATTGTAAAAAAATTTGTATTCGTACATGAGAAAAAATTTAGAATTAGAGTTTTAAGTCAGAACGGGGGAAGTAGGCAAAGAACCTCAGAGAAAAAGGTCAAAGTTTAAATGTTTTTTTTCTTCTTGATAACATTACTTAAACCCCAATTTTAAACCATTGTTTAACTTCAGGAGACATTTTGATCTAGATTTCATCTCCTACAACCTTGCTTAAGAAAATATCTGGCAGCGTTACGTTACTGGAGGGGGGTAGAGGCACGGCCGCCAGGTGGCTGTGCATCAGCTCAATAATTCGCCCTTTATTGACTTAAATTTAAATTTATGAACATGAATTTATTAACTTAACATATTGAAAACTAGCTGTTGTACCCGTGCTTTGCAACGGGAAGAGGATACAAAATGCAAAAAAGTTAATAGTACTGCACCCTGTTGGTAAACCTTATAACTTTTTAATGCTATTTAATATCATAGGACCAACTTGTGTAGTTGAAACAGCTGACAAAATTCTTTTATTCCTTTTAAATATGATTACTCATAAGGTTAACATGGGAAACTCCAGAGCCACTGGGGCGGAGCCCGAAAGGACTTTTGAGATAAGAATGCGTCTATATTTTAATCAGGAATGTGAGATATCATCACACCAAATTTCAGACCGATTCGACCAGTATTTTTCGCGTTTACTTGTCACAAACATACATCCAAACTTTCTCATTTATAATATTAGTAGGATAAAGATAAAACATACAGAATTGAAAACCGAAACAATATGAATTAAAATCTATATCCGTACATTTTTAAGCGGAGTCAATATTGTCATAGTCCAGTAACCAATCTTTCGTTAATACACAAATACCATTAGCTGCTTCCAAACAAAACAGCTGTTACAACACCACTTGGGACGTTGCCAGTTTGAAGGCCGCGGCCACTGGAGTTAAAGGCGGCCGTGCTACTTCCTTAGCTGTATGGGCTATTAATTAACAGCTGTGTCTAAGGAATATGTCGGCCTTGCCTTAGTCACTAACAAGACTACAAGATCGCGCCACCATAGATAAAACATACTCCTCAAGCAAACTATTTATAAAATTCTGTTTTTCATCTGCATTTTTTAAACGGTAGTAGATAGAAAGAAAATTTAAATACCTAAAATTGTAGAAAAAGGAGGATAGCAGCTAGCTTACCTTAAAAGTGTGGGTAGGCCATAGAACAAGTAGAAAAACACTGTGCACACAATATTTCGTCCCCTAAGGGACTTTGTTAACTGTTAAGTGTAGAGAAAGAGTTTATGTTTATGGGTTTATGTTTTCAAGGTAAGCTAGCTGCTACCTCCTTTTTCTACAATTTAAAATCCTGGCCTAGAGCCTTTCCTTAAACAAAACTAAATAGGTACGTAAAATGTTTGTATTGTATTTGGAAAAAGGACCTTTCACATGATATGAAATTGGTTGTACCTTGCTATTTAAGAATTTTGAGCTTTCAGCTTTCTTTTATCCTTCAAAATTGAGGTTTTTTTTAATTAGAAAATAACATGGAAAATGCCATTGTAGCTCAAGAATAAGCTTGGAAAGAAATTTGGCACTGTTCCGTTCAGTAGTTAGGGTAATACAGTAGTTAACTTCAAAGTCCTTTTTTAAACGTTTAACATTTTTTTGCACCAAAATGAGCAGGGTGATTAGACCTTTAAATTGATGTATCACACAACCCATGTTTACATTTGAAAATTTCTCAAAAAACACCCCTACCCCCAAATTGGGCCCTTTTCAAAATTTAAAATAATTTTATTAGATTTGCCATGTCCAAAATAGGGGGAAATGAGAACAAACAAGTGTTAAAAGCCCTACCTTTGCACACAACAGATATGGAAGTTTTCATATGAACACCCTGTATATAGCATACAAAATAAAACAAGTTATGTTCTAATCAGCCCATTGTTCACAACAGAGGCAAATCTCCTCATCTGCAAAGCAACACAGCACTTCCATTTACAGTATTTAAATAAAATACAGCACAGGTGAACAGATCCCTTAAACTCCTGGTTTATTTATTTATTACATGGCGTGCACCAATTTACATATTACAATGTCCCAAAAAAAGGGTTTGAGAAAACATTCTTTTTGCTTGAATTTTTAAGCCGCGTTTACACCGTGTTTTTAACAAAAAGTTATTAACATAACAGTATCGCTCAAAAACTTCTCTAAACAAAAGTTAATAACTCGTGTTTTTAACAGAAAATTCCTTGTTATTAACAAGATTTATGTTATCCACCAAGAGTCGGTAAAGATCAAAGGAAATGTGTTATGTTTTTAACAAATGTTAATAACAAAAGTTAATGGTCCCTTTTAGCGCGTTAACTTTTGTTAATAACAGGTCCCTCTCTTCCCCGCAACCCCCGTGCCCAGCATCGTGCTACTGCTACAGAGAGCGCCCTAGTCGCCCCTAAGTACCAACTGCAGCAGACTCTCAACATCACAGCTGGTCATGCGGAGGAAATTCTTTATGCTTCCATCGCACCTTAGCTCACCTGAAAGAGGGTCACGATTGTCTTCTTGCATATCACTCAAACTGTACAAAGTCCTTGCTCTGAGTGATGGTTTCACACAGCATCTCCTAGGTCTCCTTTGGGCAGCAGTAGCCAAAACAACGCACACAGCTGCAGCGAGAACCACGTCATCCTCTCGCACCATTGTCTCATCTACAACTGCTGACTGTGCATGAGCAATGATTCAAGATAGTGGAGTAACTTAATGTTTTTAACATAAATGTTTTTAACAAAAACTGAAGTACAAAATAATATGTTAATAACTTTGTTATTAACTTTTGTTAATAACTGCCGGTTAATAACAAAAGTTAATTAACTTTATGTTATTAACTCCGGTGTAAACGCGGCTTTAATAGTTGAAGCCTCTTAATTTAACAAATATTGTTACTTAAACTGGATCTGGAGCATCCTTTCCAATTTCCATTCCTTAAAGGTAGTGTTTCTCAACTGACGAAATGGACTCTTACTCTTCACATAGGGGTTAGTAGTTGCCGAATTCGTCAGGGGCTGTTTTAACCACATAAAAAACTGACTTGACATTCACAATTCCGCAGCTAGAAAAGAAGGAAACCCAGACTTAGGAAAGGAAATTTAAGTCGGGTCAAAGTGACAACTAGTTCCAATCTGACTTTGGACACATGTTCTTATTGGTCCTTTTTACCTTGGACTAACCCTTACAAAACACAAAACATAATATGACAATTTTATGTGACAACATCACATTTTTTCACCAGCTTTTAGTGGCAGTTTCATTTTACTGCTACATCTTAGAGAGTAGGAAATCAACAGTTATTATTTGTATCTAGTTAATATAATTTTTAATGTTACTTTTTTATGCAACACAAACAAGTGACCTACCTTAATTTTCCTTTTCGTTTTACTGGCTCGACTATGAAGAGTCATATCTCATTCTGTGGCTCTTGATGATGTCACGTAATGCAGTTTTATTTTTTACCATCTCAAACGTTGATAAGGAATTGGTTTTGTTGAAAAGGAAATGCTCAAGGCCAAGACCCTAACCAGTAAACAGAATTCAAGGACAATTACGCCACACTTTTAAGTTGTTTTTTTCTCATTTTGCACAAACAATCATTTTCTAAAGTAAATATATATATATATATATATAAGAAAGCTTGAAAAGGTTGCAAAATATGTGTTTCTTTCAGCTTTTTGAAGCTTGAAGATAATAATTTAGACATTTTTCAATAGCTAATAATTGAAGTACCTATTTTCTTTCTGTTAGAAAATAGTTTCATATCCTCCTTGGTACCAACTACGTTTTACAAAAGGTAAAGGGAGAAAAATAAAATCGTAGCACAGAATTACTAATAATTTCATTATATAATATTTACATATTTATTCATCATCCATTCTAGTCGAAACTTTTTGACAAATTATACATTTAAATAATTATTTATACTAACTGCGTAGATAAAAACATTAACAAAAATTTATAACTCGTAAAAATGACTGATAAATGATCTCCAAAGGTAAGGTAAATATAATCGACCAAGATTTATGTTCACGCATAAGTTTACAGCCTCAATGAACTAATTCATTAAATTTCATTTTTACATACATTTCATAAGGTGAAAAATATCTTACACAGACTATATTACACCGCCGCAGTTTCGAATACACTCGAAAACTTAAAAAAACTAAACTCACTATAAATAAATTATACAACAGATAAAACACGTATAAAAATATTTCATCGCCTATTTGCAAAACGATCGATTCGCTAAAACTCAGTCTGACACGTGCGCCCTACAGTCCTATGTACAACGGCGCCCGCGTATAAAGCATTTGCACGATAATTTCAAACAGACAGTCGCGAGTTAAAAAATATTACACAGCACATAAAATACGAATCACTTTTGAAATTTGAAAGTAAAAAAATCAACACACTGTCTCTTAAGAACAAATTTAAAATCCGTCGTCAGAATCCGGAGACTAAGGCATGTTGGGCTCGGGGGAAGGCGGCCTGTCTGAGACATGGTAGAGCACGCGGGACACGAGCGCAGCGACCTGCTGGTCCAGGATCTGACTCATGACGAGCGCAAGCAGTCGCTGCTCCTGCTGCAGGAACAGCGGTCGGTTGTCCGGGTGTTTGGAGAGGTGCAGCAGAGTGCGCGCGGCACGTCGCAACATGTCCAGACTGGTGCCCATACAGTCAGGGTTGTCTCGTAGGGCGTTGATGCCGAGCTGGTTAGCCACACCCAGGGCACTGGCCTCGGCCTGCTCTATGAAGGCAACCAGCAGTGACACGCAGGGCGACTGAGCTGCGATGATGCGAGCGACGCCGCTGTCAGCCGCAGCCAGGTAGTGGAGCAAGTTGACAGAGAACTCTCTCAACACCTTCAACAATCAAATATATATCTGGTTAGATTGTGAAATATATGATAGACTCAAACAAGGCAATTATATTGAAAAAAAAAAAAAAATGTTTAGGATTTTAGAAACACTTAACACTTGGATGAGAGGGTAACATTGCAGATGGCTGAAGAATCTGAGGGAACTGGTTGCTACGGAAAAGGCCTGGATTTTGGAGGTAACACTTTTTTTATTTACTTGTACTCCTTGATTAAATAAGGTAACTGTAGCCTTAATTTGTATATTTTAGTGTAATATAAAAATTAAGTCAATACATTATTTTCCTTTAACAAAATATTTTACAAGAGAACATACATTTTTACAGAACCATTTTGCCTGGAAGTGCATGCATTTTGCTCCTCTCCTGCTATACCAACCACACCAGGTTAGGTTAGGTATCCAAACTTGGAATGAAAGTGTTTTTTAATGTACAAATAGCCCAACCCAATCTTGTGTGGTGTATAAAACAGCCTAGTGTGGTCAATATAACATTAGAGCACCATTATTTAATAGAAAGAACTGTAGATAATTGTTAGTTGGCTCACCTGCTCCTCACTCCTACACAACAGCCTGGTTAGTGTCGAGCACAGCCTCTCTAGCCGAGAGTGAGGCGGGGTCGCTATCACCAAGTCTACGTTGTTCTCCGTGACACACAGCTTGCAGAGCGCCTCCAGTGCTAGCCGCTGAGGCGACAGTCCACTGGACGGGGCGACTGTGGGGAACGGGTCTTGTCCTTGCGCCGCCGGACACACGGCCCAGTGTAGCAGTCCGTCGAGCAGAGGACGAGACACATCCTCCGAATACAGCCCCAGGTCTACGTAGCCAGCCATGTTGGCCAGACACACCAGCGCGTTCTCTCTCAGATGGTGTAGAAACTCCCACCTGTAAACATTGTAGTCGTTGAAATGCAAGTTATAGATGAGTTATAATCTTCCCCCCATATAAACAAAGTTAAATTAATAGTAGAAACCATGTCTAAAAAGGATTAAAATATTACATTAATCAACTAAACCCATTAACAAGATAAATAAATATTTGTTGTTTTTATAATTATTTGAACAAATGTGCCCACGTTTGTCAATGTGTTGTGTAAAACACTACAATAGTTTCAAAACCAAATTGGTTTATTTTGATCACAATAAAAAAAGATTAGGCCTTATGCATAACAGCAATTAGACAATTCATGTCAAAAAACTAATTGTATTTTTAGGAGGACAGAGGTCCCAGAACATTTGCTTTATTAAAATTGATTCTGGAGCAAAATAGCGTGGAGTAAAATTAAATGGTAACTTTACTAGGCCTACTAAAAGTAATAATTATATATGTTTCTCATAAGTAAATAGCCTGATCACTCACCACCATTCACCCTCGCCTTGCAGAGATGAGCAGCAGTCACCGTAGTCAGCGTCGTCATCTCGGTCATAATTCCTCTGTTTCTGAGTCCTAACAGGATGTTCGTGGTGTAGCAGCAGCAATTTGCCCAATAAATTAAGGAACGTTACATTTTTAGCAAACTCGGCTTCGTTGCCAGGAACAAAGGTTAAATTTCTCAAGATCGTAGAAATACATATACACCGCCTCGCTAACGCGTCTTGACTTTCCGTTACTAAATACAAGCTGGCTTCGTCGCGGCTATAGCACTCGTCTTCGTAATCGGACATCTTTCTCCGCTTTAGTATTCCCGCCGGGTCTTTTATCCTTTCGTCAACTTCCTCGTTTTTCACTTCCGACTCGCTCGGCTCTAACTTTACCCGCGTCAACAAGTCGTTTAACGACCTAGTCCTTTTCGAGTCGGTCTGTTCGTCAGAGTCTTTTTCTCGTTTCACTTTAACATCACATTTGTTTTTGTCGGGCAACAGTCTTACAAACGGCACAAGTCCGAATTCACCTTTAAAACAGGGAATTATATATTTGGTACTAGAATAGTCCGGGACTTCTGGCGTCTCCTCTACTTCGTCTTCGTCCCACACTCTCCGCTTGTCCGACACAAAGACTTCCTCGTTGGCAGGCGTCAGAGTCACAGGATGGCCTTTCCTGGACTGCATCGTGTAGTCGGGTCCACGGATGACTCTCAACCTCTCACCAGGGTCCGGGGGCGTAGCTATGCTGCCGAGGTCAACTGTCTTGCTCTCGGAGGAAGTGCGCTTGTACCAGCGGTGCTTGTCTGCGGTCTCGACCGTCGGCTTGTCCAGCATCTCGGAGAGGGCGTGCTTGAAGTGTTCCAGCAGAACGTCCAGCAGTCCTGGGAGGTGTGCAAGGCCGAAGTACGCGATGCTTGCGTCATCAAACAACAGGATGTTGAGGATGTCCAGTGCCCACGTAGTCTCACCCAGCAGCCCGGAGCGCAGTGACATCATCACGCGCCAGGCGTCCACCGGCGCCACGTCTGTCTTGGTCAGTCTGCGCCGCTTGTACAGTACAGGCTGCACGGCCTCCACACTGTCCATAGGAAACACTAGCTCTCGCTTGACTCCTGGACCTCCCTGCATGGGACCTGACATCTGACCCTGGCGACACAACAAACAACACATTACAACAATGGACTAAAACAAACTTGAAAAAAAATCTAGAAAAATTATTGGAATAGATTGCTAATAATTGTAAAAGCAATAATAGCTGTATGGATAACATTTTTGGTTAGAGACACACTTGTTACTGTACACAAAACACAAGCCATTTTAACATTTATGGATAATGGGTTTGTATCAATTTATTTCTCACCTTAACTTGATGAAGATGTAAAAGTGAGTCTGAAAAACTATTATTTTAAAACTAGGTTAGTAAACTTGCATTATTAATATTTTGAGCTAAAAATCAGTCTATACAATCTTAACTATCAAAAATTACTCAGATCTTTTTTTATTATGGTAACATAATTTTATTTTTTCTACAAATACCTGCATTATTTACTTGAGTTGTTGTTTGAAAATTAAAATTGTTGCATTCATTTAGAAATATTATGAACAGAATTCTGCTATGTTTATTTATTTATTTTTCTTAAATCACCTGATATATTGTATAGGAGAAAGTATATTAGGTAAAACATATGTATTAAAGTTTCATAACTCTTTACAATTTTATCAAGAACAATATGTATAATCTAGTTTATGTTGGGCATACTAGGATACTAAATTATTATTTAAAGAAACCCTAATAAGAATAATATTTTTTTTATGTGCATATTAAATGTAATAGCAAAAGTCTTAATCATGTAGTTAGCAGTCATAATAAGTAGCAAGAAAAACTTTTAAAAAATTGTACAATATTATTTTTTAATAAAAACAGATATTTGAAAATAAGTTGAAATTTGTTTAAATGTGCGTACAGAGGTAATGGTTAACTTTGGTAATCCAATGTAGCTTAGGCTTACAAAGGCAAAAGAATACAATTCTAAACTGATAAATGGTTCCATTATTTAAACACCACAAAATATGTTAAAATAAATATATCATAATTAAAAATAATCATTAACTATAGTTCGTTCTCAAAATATAGGCTGTTTTAGGGGAAGAAATCTATCCCCCTCCGTTTGAACCTACCTCTTTGAAATAATAGCTCAACAGCTGAGGTTTGCCTAAACATGAATAACAGCTGCACCATATATATTAAGAAAAAAAAATGTGGGGGAACTTCTTCCCATTAAACCACCTAAATTTTGTGACTGGAGTATAGTAGTACTGCTAACATAAGAGCTTTGGTAATTAAGCCTCTATACCGCATTATTGGCGCGATTATCACTCAATACTCACTTTCATACCACCAGAAGAGTTCATCTGACAGTAGGGTTTGCCGTCGGGCCTGTAACCTCGGGGCCCCATGGGGGCCCTATGCCCCGAGTTGGGGCCCACAACAGTGTTGCCCATACTTGGTGGTACACCCCACTAAAAAAATTACAAAACCAAAAATAAAACAGAAACATAAAAAAGTTGAAAATAAACAAACTGTAAAACAATGTAAAAAATTATTGAAAATTTGCTAAAAACAAATTAGTTTCAGAAAAATCATTCCCAGGAACACAAAATTAAAACAGTAAAGACTCAAAATATAACTGGCCTAAATAAAATCACCGCATATTGTACCTGGTGTGTAAAATCAAAATAAGTTTGTGATTAAAATATGAAAAATGTAAATAAAAGAAAAGTCATATCGACAATTAGCCAGAACTGGTGAAGTTTGGTTTCTGTGAAATTCATATTCCATTTTTATTTACTTCCAGTAATTAGTGTAGGTGAAAACATCACATTACATAACATCTCATAACATATTACATGGACCCGCTGTAGCCAATTTGTATTAGATTTGAACATAATTGAATGAGCCACTCAGAGAATATGCCAGTGCCGAAATTTGATTTTTTCCCACAGTTTTTTTCCAGTTGATGAGACATAAAAAATTATACAATAAGTTCTTTTATCAGTTTGGATTGGTTTAAATGTTGGCATAATATAACAGAGAAGTAAGATACAAAAGAAATATGATTATTGGCAACCGTGCACTTTAAGCTCTGGAATGGTGGGGCAGAAATATACTAGTACCGAGCAAGGAAAAGGAGAGCGGAAGGGATGACCAATAGAATTTACTAGACACAAGCGACTGGTGCTAGACACGAATTTAATGTACCATTGAACGTTTCCTCTATATCTTACTTCTCTGTGCAGGAGAACACTCCATGGCTCAATTCAACAATGTAAATTCTTATCCAAAAACTGGTTACAACTTAAATACAAAAATGGGAAGTCTATTTTGATCAATGGTCCGACAGCGACTCAACTAAGATATTATTGAATTAGACTAATGAAATCATCTTGTATCTGAAGGGCTTGTTACCTGTTGTGAGTGGTAGGGGGGTTGGCCAGGGTACCGCTGCTGATCCCACTGTCCCGGGGGTCCGTTGGGGGGTTGAGAGTTGGGACGGGGGCCTGACACCTGGCTCCACTGGCCCCCCGCAGGCCCCGGGCCCGGGCCGTACTGCCCCCGATACTGGCTGTTGTTGTTCTGAGCCGGCCATCCACCTGAACAGAAATTATTTTGTCAACGTGTATTAAACCTAGAAATAGGAATATTAATAAATTTAATTGACATTGACGTCTTTACAATGGTGTTAAAATGGTTCTGAGCTGAAATCCACATAAATTACAAAATAATTTAATCTGGAAGTATTTTTGTTACATAGAGTTCTGCTAGCTTCCTGAGAAAGTTTAAGTACCATAGGCTTAAGAGATACACAAAAAATGTGTCTCACCTCCTACCATCATAAGAAGACCTACACAAGGATGAAGTATTTTGTCACGGAGGTTAATTAAACAGGGAATGGGGATGGGAAAGTACATCCATTTCTCGTATGGGAAAAAGCTTTGGTGCTGGCATCTATCAGTAAACTTTAATTCACATAAACAGGAGGGTAGAGGAGCCAGAGAACATTCTGACATTTTGCCAGGAAAACACAACCACTAGGGATAGTCACCAAAATAGTAAATCATTAAAGTGCCCTATATTATCTTTTTCTCTGAACTAAACTACATGCGTTCCCAAAAATCTCCTTAGTCACAACTCACAAGGATTATCTCTAAAATATAAAATAATTAAATAGCAAGATACTAAATGAAACAAATTGCAATACCAATGACAATTAGGTATTCTAAACAAAAAAGATAACACTGAGAAATACCAAATCCCTACCAGGATAGATGGCAGGCCTCTGTTGGTTGTAAGGTGGGTAAGGTTGGTCTTTGGCAAAGTCGGGATGTCGCCGGGGCTGTCCGCCGGGCGGAGGCATTCCCTTGTTGTTAGGGTAGGGTGCCCCGCCGTTGGGGCCCTGGCCACTGCCATACACCTGAAACACATATATGGTTATTGCATATATTTCCAGATCATCCTAATTTCTTTTAATGCAAAATGTATTACTAATGTTTCCATGAGTTGATATATTTAGGCCAGATACAGATGGTATAATGCAAAGAAGTTTGTGATCAACCGTCTAATGTTCAAATTTATTAAATCAACAGAAACAATGATAACAACTTTGGAACCCCATTTGCGTCTTGTATTGTTTTAACTTTTGTTCCTTATGTCAATTCAATAGATATCTGTCGAGACATTCTAATTCAGTTTTTTTCCGACATATCTGGAGATAGTGATTTCTACTACCACCAGCACTTGATGTACGTTTGGGCTGCATTCAGTAAATAAAACATTTGTCAATATAGCCTATTTTTAGGTAAATTTTTACTATGTTAGAAAGTCCCAAGACCTCTCGCTTATTCTAGCACTAGAAGTGATATGACAGTTTACCTGGTCCTGGGGGTAGTACGGCTGCTGGGGTGGCGGGTACGGCTGGTTGGGTGGCTGTCCGGGTGGTGTCTGCCCGGGTCTGGGTGGGTAACCGGGTGGCTGTCCAGCTCCCATATTGTACCTGTTGTAAGGGTCTGGTCCCGGCGGCGTCCCTGTAGCGTTAGGACTAGGCCCCGTTGCCCCGCCTTGGTTGTAGCCCCTACAAACGTAATGCAGTGGTAATATAACTTTTGTCCCATGTATAAGTGAAGAGTTGAAGACCATGGGGATTATTGTGGACATTTGGCATCCCAAAAGGTTCTCATCACACTTCATACCTTGATAAATTTCTGATTTACTAACTGTGATAGAAATATTCCAAAATAATCCACAAACATCGTACACTCACCATTACCTTAATTAAACATTAAATAAAGGAATTGAAGTTGAAAAATGTTACATAACTTCAACTGCCTATTAGTAACAAAAAATTGTAGCATTAAAGAAAAGAGATTGATGTTATTTTCCTAGAATCAGAAGCAATAATTCTTCACCAAATGAACCTTTCCATTTCCTCATGATGTGACCCCTCACATAGAAAAACTGTGCTATAGCATAAGAAAAATCAGTACAACAATAATCTTTAGTAGTGATTATTTCTTAAAATGGTTAAACTAGTAAAAACTGTAAAAAATTTTCTCTAAATAAAAAGGTTCTCTAATATCTTTCACTCTATTACCCTCAAACCAAGCTTTACAAAAGGTCCTGTGTGCAATAGAGATGAAACCTAAACCAAGTTATTTGAATTTTCCTCATCGTCAACACAACTAAGTAGTTGCTGTTAGGAGGGTGTGAACAGCCGCGAGGAGTGACTAGTCGAGGGGATATTACTAGATAGCTCTACACTAACCTGTCCTGGTCCGGGTAGGGGGGGTACAGTGGTCTGTTGGGGGGATACGAGCTGCCCGGGGGGTATTGCTGGTTGTACTGGTCAGGGTACTGAGAGTAGTTTCCTCCCTGGTTCTGGTAGCCTCCTTGCATACCTGCAACAACCCTCGTGTAACTCATTCTGCATCACATGACCAAATTTAACTTTTTTCTTTTTTTCAGGCTGGTAGATTACAAAATTTTACCCCAGGGTCGGATAGTAAGGGCTGCCCTTTTTCTATGTGGTTTTCATATTAATAAGATATATGCTAAAAATCCTGTTTCCAGCATTAGGCCGAGTGGATTTTCTACTACTAAAGCCTTCACAGAGACTGAGCTCAGCAAGTGTGTTTGGAAGAGTTTACAGGCTTCTGGCCGAGTTTGAATATACGAGAATTGCACTTTTGTTGTTGATATTTTAGTAATATTTTTACTGCTTATGAATTAAGACAGATTTCAGACATAGTTCAGTAACACACCATTTTTTGTACACTGTCAAGTTTGAATGTTTTTAAGGTTAAGAGCCAGAAAATATGGTTTTTTAAATGTTGAGTGTGCTTGTATCTAAATTACAAAATTGTTAAGTAAATAAAATCTCTTGTAGATACCAACAAATTCTCCAAATTACATTTATCATAGTCATGTAATGGTAATTACATTAGCAACGTAATTGCATTTTCTGACATTAAGTGGTGCAGCCCTTACTATCTCTTCTTGAAAGTGAATGTTGTTGAAAAATTGACACTGACTTTAACCTTGCTTGAATCGTCACTCTAATATTTTAAAAAACAGCTGTAAAAGTAACAACCCCTTTGCCGCCAGAAAAGCGACAAAAACTTTGTCGACTGCTGTACAGTTTTGAGGTTTAAAAACTTAACATAACCATTAAGTAACAAATAAGATATTGAAAATGTGCAAATAAAATTCAAAATATTGTAAACAGTACGGGAAAACAACTAAAGATAACTAACAAAACAGTATTTAAAAATACCGATTGAAATCGCATGCAGAGATGACAATACAAAATACAAACGTAAATACAAGGAAAACGTTTACACACATAATGAAACATGTAACGGCCTCAACCAGGTAACCCTCGACGGACCGACTGTAACGTCCGAAGACGTGAAATTACATCAAACAGTTACGTTAGATACGACAGAAATAGAAGTGTAGAGTCGAGTTGGAGAGTGAATTCCCATTCCACCACCAAGTTAGGGTAACAACAAGACGGGAGACCTTCGAGCTGGCGACAGTCAACCTGGTAACATTGCCAAACTAAATTTAACGGTGGCTTACTGTTTTATTTTCGGATTTACGAATTTTAGAAACAATAATGATGAGAAATAAATACAGTCACATCTGCCTATCACAATCTTTACCCATGAGTACCGATATCACAATTAATATGGAATACAGACTGTCAATTTATGCAGCCATATAGTGTAGTTCTGTGATTTTATTTATTTCCGAGGTGATATAGTGTAAATAGATTTCTTGTTTGCATATACTAATTTACCCAAGAGGTTAAAGCATGATTTATTCTGAAATCCTTAAAAATCAAGTGAAAACATTTCATTTCATTACAAACCTACAAAAATATTTATCCTGATGTATAATAAACTTAATTTTTCTTAAAAATTCCACAAGACATATAACCCTCAAACAACAATAATTGTACAAAAACAACCACTCGGTATCCTCGGCAATGTTACCACTTTGAGTTGCTACTGCTCGGGAAGGGTCCCACAAAATACAGGGTGCAGAGCAATGCAATGTACCTGGGCGTGGGCCGCGGGGGCCTGCGTCGTCAAACGGGTTGGAAACACTAATGTTATCCGTCGGCGCGGTCGGCACCCCCACACCTGCACACGGCAACTCTTACTCTCAACCACCATACAAGACTAAACATCCCACCCGCTCCACAACACCACACTTCGCTGTATTTTGCTGTTAGATATTTAAAAACCCACTTTATCCATAAGTGTGACAATAAAAATCTCACTTGGTTCTCTACCTAGTCATTTTATCCCATTTTTGCGATTAACCCCATTTTATTTATAGCCTTGCCATTTAATGCCACTCTATATCCTCCCACTTTGCTTTTAATCCCACCTTATTCCCAAGTTTGCCATTTAATTTCTACTTCATCCTCCAAGTTTAATCCCACGTTATCCCCCAAGTTTACTATTTCTCATTGTCCATCAAGGTTATAATTTTTTCCCATACTTTATCCCCGAGTTTGCCTTTTAATCCCACTTTATCCCCATTTTTTCTATTTAATCCCACAGTTTGCCATTAATTTGCTCTTACATATGACAATTTTCTCCCATAGTATCTGTATCTGTCCTTTTGCCAGTTCAAATTCCATGTTAATTGTGTTGTGCCTTAATTGTTTGTATCATAACTTTAGCTTCTGAGTGCACATTAGCCATTTGAAGACACTAACAATTGAGGGAATTTGGTAATGCCATCTTTTTAATTAGTTAAGCCTCTGTAATAGCATTTTTATTATACAAAGTTTTAAATACGACAGAGCCTAAAAAAGTATCTTGCTGACTTAACTCTGTTTTTACAACGCTGCTAGTAAAAAAGTTTGACAACTTTTAGTTTACAACAAAATAGTTTTGTTTTAACATTGTAAAAATACATTGAGTTATTTAAGAGGAAACATAAATTGTTAGTTTTCAAAATATAATAAAGAAACACAACAGAGAAGGGGGTTAATGGCAGATAAAATATTTCTAATAGAATAATCTCTTTATTTAGAAATCTGGGAAGATATTTACCGTCACCTCACCCCCATACTAATTCAACAAATCATGCATCTTCCAATTAGAAAAAATAGTTATTAAGTATCTAGGAATCCTATTTGTTGTATTTTCGTACGACTTGACATTGATTTGAATTTGTATTTACAGGTAGCTGTCGAAGTTATGCTTCAATCTTAATACCAAAAGAAAGGGCAAACTAATACGTTAAATAAATTTCCGATGTTGACTCAAAAGTCCATTCGGGCTCTGTTAAAATTATATAAAAAGAAAAAAATATACTGCATATCTAAAACATTTCGCTATGCTAAAACAAAATAATTTCCCCTAAAACCTTTAAAATAAATATTATATTTATAGCGCTAACGCATATTAAAATATGTTTGTCCCGAAAAAAAAAAAAAAAAATACTACCTACTGCAGAGTAGCTACTACCCTGAAGCAAATAACGGCACTGAAACCTTAGATTTTTAAACAAACAACAACAATGAATCCTATCAAACATAAGGCTTTCACATTTCCTAAAAATCCATTAGAACTTTGGCCCATGAGTAACTTCCCAGACATAAAAGACTCAAGAAAAATGTATGAATAGTGAACCAAGAATAAATATATTATACGATTAATAAATCAAGTTGTACTAGCAATAAATGGACTCCCATAAAAATATGCTTTGAAACAAACTCCTTCTAGTAAACTAAACAAGTAATAGAAGTAAAGAATCTCTTCTCCAAATATCTTGAAATATTTTTTTTTTTCAAAACAAAAAAAAGTTTTAAAAAGACAAGGAAATTAAAATAAAAGAACAAATATTTTTAAAGAAAACAACTTAGGATAGCCTACAACTTAAAAAAACCAACCAAAAAGGTAAAATGTGTAGGGTATTAAAAATCATCTTATTGGAAAATTCTTTGAATTGGTGTAACTAAACTGAAGATTCTGAATGGTCCATTAGTTTATAATAGGGATTGTTGTATTTGCAATTCAAACATTAATTTGTACATGAAACAATTGGAACCACGTATTGTATTATGAAAAATATCTAAGTTCAATTAAATAAATTATAACCTGAATTGCATTTGAACTTCATCGTAAATGTCTCGTACTTTTAGTAAAAAAATATGGGTAAACTTTTATCAATTACCAAATAAAGAATATACCAACGTAAAGTGTATCTTTAATGAATTTTGTTACTACAGTATTTAATATTCAATTTGACCAGAGAAATTAGAAAATAAAAATATTTTAAGAGTTAACCCATCAATAAAATACAGCCTTAGTTCCATAAGTACGGACAAGACCCGACCGTAGACGCATAAGTTTGTCCATTGACAAAAGTAAATTGTGAAGACGACAGGATAGAGAGTTAACCATTAACCGAAAACCAATTACCTTGGTTGGACTGGGAAGGTGGTCTTTGGTTGTTGTAGTCAGGTGGATAGCCGTAACCGTAACCGTCCATGGATCCGCTGCCACCACCAGAAGGGAAAGAGTCTTGCGAATTTGATGACCCTGAGAACAAAAGCAATCTTTGATGAAAAATTATAAAATTTACATTTAAGGTGGTGTTTTAGTTTTATTTCATAGGCCTACTATGCTTGGGTTCTGACAAAATTGAAAGGCTAGTCTTCAGACTTGAGACTCTCGTTTATAATTACACTCTTCTAACAGAAAAAAACTTGAATGGTAAATTCTGGATTAAAAAAAAAATATATCAACTGAAACACTATAATTAATTGTTCATCACAATTGCTTAGTTGACTGTAAAACATTCTTAATTTAACAGTATAATTATAACTAGAATATAACTGTAGCCTATATAACTAGTCCAGATTAAATTAAACAATTTAATTTTTTTTTTTTTCATTTCTTCATTGTTTATTTGTCAATATCAGCCATGTTTGTAACATCAATCACTTACACTTACTTGATCTAGTCAAAATTGTTGATACTATTATTGTTAATGTGTTTAAATCTCTTTATGCTTTTGTTATTATTATATTATTTGTTATTTATTGTATATTTATTACTAGAGTAGTTACTGTTGCTCAATATTTTGTGGCTTATTAGATACAACATGTAACATACCATATATTCGCTGTAAAATGGTGTAACCGTTGAGAGGAAATAAATAAATAAATAAATAAATAAATAAATTAAGGTTGACTAAATTGACAGCTACAACAAATTTTGTGTGAGATTGTCTAAACCATCTTGAAAATGTTACACCTTTCTCAGTGTACGTCCATCACGGACGGATAAGTTAAATCCATCTTGAGTGATATAAACATTTTTTACACTATCCACAGAGAAGTAAGGTACAGAAGAATCATTCAATGGTGAACAATCAATACACATTCAGTGGTGTCTAGCACTAGTAGCTGGTGTCTAGGGCAAAATCAACACTGATTCCCCACCTTCATGTAGCCTACTACAATGCTCACGGTGGAGACAGACCCTAGTAATGGGAATTTCCGCACAGTGCTTGCCGCTCGTGCTCTTCCTTACTCATCAAAAGTATATTTTAGGCAAAAAATACTATAGCTAAAAGGGCACGGACTTCCCATAAGCATATTTCCTCTATACCTTATATATCTGTGCGTTATCACACTTCAACAATACAAGTCTATTCATCTCACCAGGTGAAGGTACAGGTGCAGTCTTGGTGGATTTCTTTTTCGACGTAGCCTCAACCTGGTTGATGATTGGCTGAGGATCAATGCCTCCTAGATCAAAGTGGCACTCGTACGGCAGCAGATTCTTGGTGTAATGTTTACGCAGAGTGTACGCCGCGCTAGACGACGCTCCGATACCCAACAACCCGGCAATGTCCTTCCAGATCTTGTTTTTTGTCACCTGCAAAATGGAGTGTTCATAAGCCAATGCTCTCGAGTTGAAACATTTTGTTCACTTAAATATGATTAGAGGTTAGAATTTTTCAAACATTTTGGAACCTGGTAAAGATTTTGTTATTGTAATTTGAAATGTGATAGGATGATACAAAAAATGTATGTTTAATTGGACGATTTGGAAAAAATATTAGGCACAAAATTTTTAGCTAACACTTTTTACAAACATTAAAAGATATAACGATTACTTTCATTTTGAATTTTCCTTTTCTACAACTTCTGAGAAATTCTTAACTACCCATTGGTTACAGGGACAAATGGAAGTACACCCAAAAGCCACATAAAAACAATGATTTTAAAAGAGAGGAGTTAAAACATTTTCATGAAGATTGGACAGGTTATTGGAGGTTATCATTTCAAAAAGAAGGTAAATAGTAACAGTAAATTGCAATAAAAAATATTATACTTCTTTTACTGAAGTTAAATGGTTTTTCTTTAATTCAGTTCCACGGCCTTGCTTCTTAGGTTTTCAATAATTTTCTTTTTGTACTGTAAACATTATTTTTCATATGTCGTTAGCTTTTGTCTTAATTATAACTGTTTAGCAATTTAAGCTTGGTTTGAATTGTATTTATTACACTCAAGCAATACAATAATTATTCTACTTCAAAAACTAATTGTGTTCTGAGCAGCAAATATAAAAAATATGGGACAGTAACGTTTTGCTTTATGGCTTGAAATGTAAATTCAAAGGTTTTTTTAATTAAAAACAAAAAAGTATTGTCCATATAAAAAAAATGATTGATTAATTTTTCAGTAGCAAACCAATCTTTTGACCAAAAACTCCTCCATAACATGACCAATTCTCATGTATAGCAACATTTAAAAACACCAAAAAGAGAAAAACAACACAGAGAAAAAAAGGCAGCAACGGAAAAGAGGTTTGGCGATGTATCCACCTGACCTCTCCAATGGACACAGCCTGCCTTACCTCTCAGGGTTGCCACCACAAAACAACAACTGTCAGTGTCGCCACTACGGCAGCACGACCACACAAAACTGTGCTCCACCCAACAATTACTAGATAAAGAAAAAGTGATAAAGAATTGAAACTCGTGATTTGACAAATGTTAAATCCATTGAATCTAAGAAAAGATTAAAATTTTAGATTTCCTCAGCTGAATATGTTAGTATTTCAAACATAGTTACACCCAGTTTGCCAGACTCCTAAATCCCATAGGTTAGTTTAACCCTCTCAGACAAGCAAATATTTGAAAAACAAAACTATTCATTTTCATTTCATGTATTTTTGTACAGGCTACCATTTTAAATGCATACTCCACTTTGTTTTTCCATAACAAATTGTTTCTCAGTGCATGATTAATTTTCCATTTCCACTCCGAATAATCGACACGGATTTATCTGCTACGGATGTTAATATCTATAAATATTACAGATACAGAAACCTGTCTTTAAAATAAGATTTGAAGACAGGTTTCTGTATAAGTAAGTTATAAATCTAGAATAAAGTGGCCGTGATATTTTTTTAACAATATTTAGCTTCAAAGAGAACACTGTATGTAAATTTGAAAAATATTTAAGTTTAAGAAAGATGTCCAAATACAAAATTAGATGTTTAGCATTTGATATGCGACGTTTAAGACCGCAGCGCTTCTGCAGATCACAGGAAAGTAGTGCCATACTAACGAGAACCAGCTCACTGACCAGTCAACAGAATTGGCGGAACTTTCCGCTTCCCATTTCACAACATCATTATACTTTACAATCATTATAGACGTATCAGTTGCTTGTCCGGGAAGGGTTCAGACAGAAAATAAAACAAAATCTGAGACTGAATACGGGTGTTAAAGTCCCTCAAGTTTTTAGGAACTTTTATAAAAAATTATATTTCTGTTTAACAGGGAAGAATTTATACAACAGGGTGTCTAGTTTATTTCTGATTTAAAATTCAAGACTAATTCCAGATCTTTCAAGACTTAATCGTCGTTGTTCACGATCACGGCAAAATTATGAACATTTTCCGCGGCCGTGTAGGCATCCATCATTGAATCCCATGGTCACAAAAACGCCATCCTCATCTCCCGTGGTCTCGAACACATTATCGTCGTCGTCCCCAATCAAGGCAAAATCATGAAAATCTTTGGTGGCCGTGTAGACATCATCATTGAATGCCGCAGTCACCAAAACTTCTTCGTTGTCGTCCGTGATCGCGGCAAAATTATGAACATTTCTCGTGGCCGTGGAGACATCATCATTGACTCCCGCGGTCACAGAACATAATCGTTGTCGTTCACGATCGCGGCAAAATCCTGAATATCTTCTGCGGCAATGTAGACATCATCATCGTCTTCCGCAATCGCCTTAAACTCATGAACATCTCCCACGGCCATGTTAGCAACGGACTGCAGGTACGGAAACGTCATCATCTTCGTCCACGATCGCGGAAAAATCATGAACACCTTTCGCGGCTGTGAAGACGTCGTCGTCCAGCATGATTGCGGTTTAATCAAGAAAATTTCCAACTTTGATATCAAAATAAAGACTAATTGCCAACCTTTCAAGATCATTTTTAAATTCAATACTAATTCCCGACTTTCCCGTTTTTTCTGACTACTAGACACCCTGTTCAATTAAACTATAGGATCATGATTAAATTACCAAGATAAAAATGAATCAAAATTATTTATAGTGAACGTCTATTTTTCACAACGATTCCTCGATGCATTTTTAAATTTTAGAGTCATGTCTCAATATTTTGGATTCAGATCCCAAATTCTAATCCTAACCACCCGTAGTTAAAAAAAATATTTCCATTACTTGTTACTTTCATCTACTAGTTGGAGTAACTCAATAAATGTTGATGGGTTCTTGTTAAATAAATGTTACTTATATGATTGGTGATAAAAATTATGTTACAAATTTGCAGAAAAATGAAAAGGAGGAACAATATGAGTTTATCACTAAGTGAATTCACAAAAATGATTTAGTTCAAATTATTATAAGTTATAGTACAGGTTAGTGTATAGTATAAAAGTGTTAAATTTGATAATGTTAAATATATTATGAAAACACTTAAAAAGTAATAATTGGTCCCAAAATGTTTCTTTATAAGTATGAAGAGAAGAACAAACTTGTATTTGGTGAGACAAACATGCAGTTACAAAAATAGGGGAATCAGTATCCAATAAAGCCATCACCAGTTTTTTTTCTATCATGCACGTTGGAGTTTTCTATTTACATGCAGAATTCAACAAATATTTTATAAGAGTATTAGTGAGACAACTTTGCCAAGAATTGCATTTGTAAGGTAAGTAAAACTTTCAAATTTCATAGTGACTTTTTCAACCTATTGATAAATTTACAAACTTTTAACAAAAATACTTTTTTTCTAATGTTCTGCATGTAACTGGAACTTGGTAATTGTTTTCAAAAAGATTATTTAAACAAATAATTTTCAGTACAAATTTCAACAGAAGTTGAAAAGAAAATCAAACCCAAAGAACCATTTTTCCGTTACAAAAAATGGTATGACTTGGGTTAATTTCAATAACATGCCAAGTTTGTATCCCCATACGAGAAAATCGATCACATGTTAGTTACTTTAAATTGTAAAAATATTGTTAAACTGTACGAGAAGCAAGTCTAGCACATGCTGCTTCTACGGTTTGTTCTTCTCTTTAAGTAGGTTAGTATTTGGCAATCAAATATAAATATCGCCTCTCTAAAAATCTATACTGAGCGACTGTCGCTAAAACCAACCAAACTAAAGACCTACTTATCTAGTTCACTGTTGCAAGATTATGCAATCCGAAATAGTGTAGGTTAAGTTTATTTTTTTAAGGAGTATTTTTTTTAAGGCAATCATTTTAGATCGTAGTTGGTGTTAAAATATGAAAAGTTGTTTGCAACAAAGGAAAAATTAAAATGTAATGTACATAATATATATTGAGCAACCAAAAATTATAAACAAAAAATTTAATCAAAAAGTTTTTAATTTGTATTCCATCAAAAGGACACAGTGAACAGATACTACAAAAGAGAATATGTACACGAATACAGCATCTAACAAATATAGTTATACCACTTACCTTGTGAAAAAACAAAAACCAAAACAAGCAAAAACAAAACCTTACCTTGAAATCTTGATTTGCTGATTCTGCTTGGAAAGTTAAATAAGATGTTAGGAAAAGGTTCAGTTCGGATCGGTCGTACTTTACTGGACTTGTCTAGTCAAACTACACCAACTACAGAATTTGTCATTTTTTTAGAAAATAAATTCTTAGGTTCGAATTAAAGGCAGGAAAATAAAGTAGATAAATGTAACCAGTAGATTGCAAAAGTAAAATGAGCATTTTTGCTACAAGCATAGATTAAATTATTTTTCACCATATTTATTTGTTCAAGTTAACCATTTTTTCTTGCATTAGCAAACCAATTCTTTTGACGTTTCAATATTCCAGTAAACAGTTTATTCCTTTCATCATTGAAAAATTTAAATAAAATTTAAAATACTCCTTTTTTACAAAAAAATAAATAAAACTGCATTTTTATTTTTACAACAGTGAATACTCATAAAAAGACAGACTATTCTAAATGATTTATTTGTAAGGTTAATCACAAAAGCTTATTTCTATGTTACAAAAAATAACAAAAACAGTGCAGTGTTCTGGTAGTCCTCGGTGGTAGTGCAAGCAGGTGGGGAGGGGATAGGTGGGGGAAGATAGATCTCACAACCAGCTGTTAGGAAACGGAAAGTGTTAGTTGAGTCATCTTGCCACGCCAAAAATACTAGTAAATAGCGTAAAAACAGTTCCAATTTACTGTAATGTAGCCAAATGAATTATTTCTCTTTCATGAACTAAAAAATGTTATGGAATTTAATATTCTAAAAAATTTGAATTACAGAAGAAAAAAGTCATCTAAGTAAGGATCAATTTATACAAACATTTCACAAGTTTTACAATGCAAAGATGTTAGCGTTTCCCAAATTAGAGTAGTTTTGGGTAAAGAATACATACTGAAACCTGCATTCAACTCATTGGTATTGAAATTCTTGAGAGACATCCTTATAGAATGATCATACTTAGGAAAATTACAATCATTTTAATAGAAGATGCTTTTTTACTTCAAAACATTGGAATGATTAAATTAGTTATATTTCTCATTCCATTAGTACAACCATAAATATTAAAACATTAATTTCAATGCTGAAGATAAGTACAAAATACATTATATATCAAATCCACAAAACAACCCAATTCTAAACAAAAACCACCCTCAGTAAAACCACAGGCGATGGACAAGAATCGACTCGCATGCGTAGAGAAAAAAAACAGACAACCCATCGAAGAAGACGGACTTAACGCCTAGGTGAAAAATAAGGTAAAAAATAGCTACCATGGAACTACACTGCACCTTGCATACCTCCATGAAGCCCCCTCTCTCCTTGACATAGAGGTATAGTCTAAAGAGATCGAGGGGGTTCTTGGAGATTGTTGGACAGGTGGTGATCGGCGTCTTCCTCTCCTCCATGAACTGCAGCAGCTTGTCCAGCCAGTGACGACGGTCCGGCGCATCGTCCATCTCGTACAGCTTGCTCAGACTGTCCTGCTTCTGGAACAAGGTCATGTATCAAGTTTTCCGCTACACCATATCCACCTACACTTAACTGTTCCGAATTGTATGTGTAAATATTAGTTTATTTACGTCTGTTTTTTCCCAACAAATTTACAATGATACATAAATAAATAAAAAAATCTAAAGGAATTTACAATAAAACCTCCAAAATCCGAATGGAAATCTGAAATTAGATGGGAAGCCATTTAAAATTATGTTTTTGGACGCCAGTGTGAATTTCTTTTTTAACAGTTAAGACTACAAAATCAATCAAATTCTTGTGAATATGAAAAGGATCATACTAAGGAATATGTCACTCAAATGCTAAGGACTAGACTAATAATTTCACCCAATAATTTTTTTTTAATGACAGAATTTTTTATCTTTATCCTATCAATCAGGTAGTAAAAACTCATTGATGTAAAAACTTGATAGTGTGATGTACATTAAACATCACAACTGGATTCCAAACCAGTCTCTTTACTTTATTATATTGTAAATAGCTTTTCCATGGCCATTGGGGTGGTAGTTTTCACATAGGCTACCCAGTAATTCTTAACTGAAATTGCAACAGGGTTTGTCATCACATAGGGTTGATAAGGTTCCAATGTATACCGTTATACAAGCCTGTCACATTAAAATTGATTTATCAAAAGTTTAAATCTACAAAAACCATGGTCAAAATTATATTTTTATGAATTTAAATCACAGGTTAAAAATATTTTACGATCAATTATGTTGTGAATTTGAGTATTGTAAAGAAGAGCACTGTACTGACGTATGAACTTATAACTTGTAAGTACAATATACAGCTAATTGTCACATAAAACTTAAGTTTATCAAGATTATTGGCTTCATCCTTAAAGCTCGTCCCAACCCACCACCAAAAGAGCAAATTTTATTTGACAGAATTTTACAATATAAAAATATTTTTAAAAAAACCTTGGTCAGAGAAAAGATTTTTATTGAAGTAAAAACTCTTCAGTTTAATATATTACAGAAGTTTTAGCAATCCAAGACAGTTTTAACCACACAAATTCATCATAACAAACCTGATTGAGACTTAAATCATTCTTCGTAGAAGGATTACCCTTCAAATAGTAAAGCAAAGAGTAAAATTAAACAGAATTATTAAAAATTGGCAAGCAAAGTTATTGAAAACTGCAAGACATTGAATAACATTCAACATTGTATAAACGTAGAATATTAAAAGAAAATAAATTGTTACGTAGAAAAAATCCATAAATCTAAAACTTAATTTTAAAAATCTTGGAATTAACCTAAAAACATTGATGTTAAAAAATAAGCAACGAAGAGCGTTAAAACAAAAATAGCAGCGTAACGAAAAACCAAAAAAAGAAACATGCGCTTAGCCCAAGCAACCAGTTACGAAGCAACAGAAGGCCTACTCATGCCGACACCAAAGCGAGGAAACATTAGTGGGGCTGAGACAAAATGATATTAACCTTTGGCCTGTATAAGTCCTGTGGCATATGACTGTTATAGACCTGCAAAAGAACAGACTCGCATCACCTGGTGTAACCGACGGCACCTCACGGTTACGGGTTAGCCAAGCTGTGGTTACGGTTACAGTACACCTTCCTCACACAATGGTACAAAATTGTCAAATGTTGTGGGAAAAGTAAAAACTCTTTGTAGATGAAAAATGAACTCAATTTATTCTTCAGTTTTTTAGTTTTAACGAATGTTCTTTGAGTTACAAACAGCTTTATAACCTTCCTTGGCTTGGATGTTTATCGTGGCAAAATTTGTAAACATCGACACCAGTAAACCCTCAATAATCCAGACAATTTGGGGGTGTAAGTTTTTTGGAAAAACAATCCGACTCAAATTAAATCATTTTAAGAACAATCTCAAGGCTGTTTGGACACCCATAAATAAACTATGTTAAAAAAACTTGAGGTTTGGAGAGAAAGGGCTTATTGCCTGAGAATAGGTGTGAGAAAGGATTGGATAAGCAGGCTTACCTTAAGAAATGTAGGCATCCCACTTCGTTCACTACAGAACACAGAAGAAAACACAAAACAAAATAAACACTGGATATTTTGAGGCCACTGGCCCCTTTCTCTACATGGAGAGTCACATTAGATATTAATGTGATATCTATAATGTACTATCTACTGTGACTCTCCATGTTGAGAAAGGGGCCAGTGGCCTCAAAATATCCAGTGTTTATTCTGTTTTGTGTTTTCTTCTGTGTTCTGTAGTGAACGAAGTGGGATGCCTACATTTCTTAAGGTAAGCCTGCTTAAAAAAGCCTAAATAATGTAATCTGAATTTAAATGTACAAACAGTAATCGTAAGCTGATTTTCAATGTTATTCCTAGCATTGATGGTTTGCTATGAAATGTTTGTTGACTACTATCAAAAGTATGTCCAGACCAAGCAAAGTTTGTATCTAACTGTAGATTAATTAGGGTCTACAGAATGTTTAGAGATTGATTATTCACCGTGTAAAATTTTGATTAAGAAATAAGTCATTTGAACTCTAGGGCAATATTTTATTCTAAAACAGATTTGACTAAAGATTTAAGAGGAAGGCGGACTCTAATACTCTAAATGACTAATCGATGTGCTATTGTTGTTAATGTGTTAAAACTATTTGCCCATACAGCACTAGATATTAAAAAGCCCATAAAAGCTAATACCATTATTATGGGCTTCATGGATTCACTTGGAACTATAAATAAGCTTAGAGCAATAGTTCAACATATTATGACTCGAAGACTTCAGATACATCAAAAATTCAAACAGTCACTCTAGAAAAATATTATAGAAAATTAATCTGTAAAATGGGCATATGGTTTGGTAACAATGGAATGCCATTTTATTTGCAGGCAGACTGGACCAATCTGCGTTTATTGTAAATTTTATTGAAACGTAGCACATAGCGTATTATCCATGTACAAACCACGTGTTTACCCTAAATAATCATAATTCATCATCATCTGTTCTTTAGGATTCATGAGAAGAATTAACAACATCATAATAGCTTTGTTTTAAAATTAGAGCATCTCTTTTGGGCAATTCAATGATAAATTATTATTAGGGTGCGTTAAAAACAACTTGATGATATCAGTAGAAAAAATTCTCACTACATAAAATCGTTGTTTGAACCAGCACAATATTTTTCCCACTACTGAATTGCGAAAGTTGACTTATCATCCTAATATATAATCTGGAGACTGATTTTAAATGCATTTCATTTTGGTAACGTTTGAATGCGACAATGTTCAATAAATCTTTTATATTTAAGAGTATGATTTTAATACTTTTCTCATGCTTTCTCCAGATGACTAGCAAAAGTTGACAAATAGTAAACTACAAAAATGCCTCAAGATAAACTAAACAATGTAAATAAAATTTGGTGATCCATAAAGTTGATCTATTGGAAGTAAGGACCAGACAAATTACAAAAATGTAGTCTAGGAATATACCTTAGTCCTCTTACCAAAAATACAAACAACTACAAAATGGAGAGAAATAATTTATTGGCTAAAAAACAAAAATTCAAATATCAATGGAATTATTCACCTTAACGTTAGGACAAGGCCGACAAAGAACACGTAAAGGTGTGTAAAGCATTTTCAGACAATACAAAGTGGCAGAGACGAAAATTTTGACGACATCACAGAATAGATACTGAAGAGAAGACATTTAATTTTACTAAAGATCTTTCAAAATAAATTCCACTTTGATCCAAATACTAAATAATATAAAACCAATACAATTGATTGTAAAAATGTTCTATACTTCTCTACAAAAATTCATAACTTTTAAAATTGAAAAACAAATTGTTTTGAAAGATCTTTCAATAACACTGAACGGTGCAGATACAAAGGCGACAAAAGCTGTGTATCACATCCATCTTGATTGTGACTTATTTTTTAACCCAGCGCATATCTTACTATAATTGATTCAAAAACCACATTCTTTAATGGTTAGTACAATACTAATCCACCTAATTTGCTAATATGTGCAAATTGTAGGTGTAGTTTTGAACTTTCTTTCAACTTTTGTCGGTTTAAGCTCTCTTGTCAGTATGGACAAGGGTACAATCCCGTGGTGTCAGAATGTTTGGCGGGGCACCTACCGGACTGTTGGGGGTGCGGGGCCATGTAGGGCTGCTGTCTGGAGGGTACTCGTCATGCATGCTGTTGATGCTGGCCGCGCCGGGGCTAGGCACCGTGCTCTGGGGTGTGCCAGGGTGGTACAGACCGTCCTTCCTACCCTTGCTGGGGGTGCACGATGGGTCTTCACCTGACGCTGTAAAAATATTACAAATCAAAATGTGAAACACAAAAATTCAAATAATAAATCAGTTTTTCAGGTTAAGCAAGTCTCAGACTTGTGTACAAAATTAACAAGTTTACAATGACTTCACGAAGCTGGAAGAAAACAAGGAGAGAAATGTTAGGAAAATAAAAAAAGGGAAAAAAGATAAGTGTGTGACGTTTGAATATGAAGGAAGATGAGCAATGAAAGGGTAGATGATGAAGGCACCTATTCAAACCCACCAGACCCAGAAATAAATGGAGCAGAATATTGAATGTATGGTGTACCTGCACTGGCGTTGGAGAGGGTTGATTGTTGAGACGCCTCGTCTATAGGAGCACCATCAGGTCCTGTAGTCACCAGAGTCGTAACTGTACCTGCAAACATTTACAAGCTTTAGTACAACTGCTGTGAAGTAGACATTCGATAAGCATATTAGAGTTATAGTGTAACAAATAACTAAATCAAACTATGAACATAGTGGGCTGCTGATGACATTTGTATGTACACACTCTTTAGTCATGTCAAACTGTGAGCCCATAATTATTAAAGAGTATTTTTTATATGGACCATTAACTGTCATAATATGAACTAAAAGTGAAAATTAATCTTCCATTTAGCACACACTATGATAGACTATAACTTGTCTAATTTAAAAAAAATTACTACAGCTAGTTTATTTAGATGTTATGTCTATTTCAGAATCCAATGTCAACGATACAATCTATTATACTTCATTCATCTTAGTGTAACAGTAAGAAAATGTCCAAAACAGTAGGATAATGTAAGACAATAAAAGTATAACAATCAATGAGCAGAAAATAGTTTAGAATCATTTAAATCATTTGACAAAAATTAAATTCAAGAAAAAAATTTAGGTTTCTTATTCAGCAAAACAGAATATTTTTGTTTTAGTTGAAAAATGAATAAAAATTAAGATTTATCATTAAGGGTTGAACATTAATTCATACAATAGATCACAGTTAAAATTTTTTCCAAAGTGGGGGGAAAATACTGACAATATAATTAAAACCCTCAATTTGAATTCAAAACTAGCATCACCACTTCGCACCAACAATTACAATCACAACATAATACTGTCAGAAAAAGACACTAACAAAAATTATAATTTCATAGTAACTAAAATCAAGCAAAATCCCCTCAAAAATGCACAAAAAACAAACCTGAATAAAAAATAATTTTCAATAAAAACTTTTAAATTCACCAGAACTTTTGGAACCATTCACTCAGGCCAACTGCCTCAGAGTGGTTATAAACTGTAGGAGAATCAAAATCAAACAACCCTATATAGATAGAGAATACAACCTCTCTCTCAATAGTTGCCATTATCTAGAGTCATATAAAACCAACAGCCGCTATATCAACCACCCACTATCATTCTGCCAACACAGAACACCACGTACACCTACTGTGGCAGTTCAATATGGGAAATTTAGAAAAAAATACATGTCTGTAATCAAGTAAGTAAATCTTGTTTAAAAACATAGTTTAGTTTTCTGAGTTTTTTATTTAGCCTACATCTACGATGCAATTATTTAGAAGACATTTTAAATGTTTGCACAACCTTACACAGCTCACAAAAATAAAACTATTAAATTTAATTACTTTATGGTAGGTATTAGACTAAAATATAAAATATTATATTCAGTTACAATGTGTCTTGCAATTTATTATTCCGTGACAGTGGCATTACTTATAACCTTCGCATTGTGGGTTTTTTTCCACACAGAACTTGTCCCGAACAAGTCCAGCGTGTATTAAGACAACAACAGTAAGTAATCTCCAAACACTGATAATTCTTAAATTAGTGTTGAGTATGGATATTCTTAATATCTTTGAGTATGGATATAGCTAGAAATTCCATTTCCATGTAAAATTGTACCCAATTTTAGAATAAAAATGAACAAAGTTAAATTGAGCCGACAGACTGAGCTGGATGATAATTACTAATTTTTGTCAAGTCAACTTTTTAACCACGTCAAACTGATGGGACAACTGGTTTTAAACTATTGCATATTTTTTGAAGAGTTATTTAATATTTAGCATCCCGTAATGTTGTTTAAAATACCAGTGATCGTAGTTTAAATATCTAGGTCCCTTTGAGATTAGAAATTTTGTTTGTAGTTTGGTAAGGGAGTCCTTGAAGGCTAACGGTTTTCTTGGATTTGCCTGCCATAAGAGCAATGTTGATTTCAAACAACTGCCGAAGAGTATGACGCTAAGGCAAGGGTATCAATACGTACATTTGACTTACTGCCGGCCATTTTACTATACACAAAGGGTATTGACACGTAAGTTTGATGTATGCGTTCCAAGAAACCAACTAGCAAGGACATAAAGAAACACACTACGACCCAACCAAGGCAGCCATAACAAGACAAATGACAGCTGAGAGCATTGCTGAAAGGAGGGTAGCGTCAGTTGAGGGGGTGGGACGCTAAAAATAATTCGCCCTACATCAAATTTACGTGCCATCTAGGGTTTGAGTTAGCCTGCCTAGGCTCCAAAGACTCTGAATGGATGCATGCAACTTTTCTCACCAGATGCAGTGGTGGTGATGCCGTTGTCGTGCAGATCCGAAGGCGCAGTGGTGGGGGGAGTGGAGGCTGGAGGTGGAGGCATGGGCCCGTCATGTTGACTCATATGACTGTTGGGAGGCCCCATGCTAGGAGGGCCCATGGGGTGGTGGTGAGGGGGCCCCATACCCAGGCCCCCGGCGTTGTTAGGGTAGCTACCCGGACTGGGCGGCATCCCGCTCCCTGCGTTTCCATAAGCTGCTTTGTGCTGTGAACAAAATTGTCATTGTGTAATGTAATAAAATGAATCCCACAGAAGAATGATTGAGGTTTACTGTATAGTTAAAATGCATACATATTGCAAATTGGGAATAAAAATGGGCCAGGTCTCAACGAACAAAAGTACAATATGAATGCTGTGTTGCTTCAGATACTGTAGTTATTTTATTGCATTATACGTTTTGCTGTAATAAGGACACCTACATTAACCTTTGGTCAAATGTTTTCGATAAGTACAAATAGTTATAGCTATCTCTAAGTTAGATGACATGATTCACATTAGACTCAAACATTTTAAATTTAAAGTTAATTTGTGTCATGTGGATAGCTTTCAAATGATGCACATGTTAAAAACTTTAAACAGGTTTTAAACTTGACACTACCATCTTGTGGCTGTTTGGACTCTTTCCCATCCAGGTAAGGTTATAATACCGTATTCTACATCCTTAATAATTGTAAAGTTTAGTGACTTTATTTAGAAAATAACAAGGAAAGTTTTAATCCGTCACTGCACATAGTTAATGTTTAACAAACACATGATAAGCTATTATATGGCCGAATGACTAACTTTACTCAAGGGGTTCATTACTTAATTTTAAACTAATTCCTGGCAATTATCTCCTGCATAAAAATCGTGAACTAAATATTTGCTGTTGTTACATTTACCTACATTTTTAAAATCTAGGCCTAAAGCCACCATTGCTAAATAATGTAATTCAGTAGAACCGAAATTAGGTTAACCGAAACAGCTTCCATAAAATATTACAGGGCTAAAATATAAGTAATACGTAATGCAAAATGCTTTAGTAACTTCAGTTGTTTAGTTTAAAGTATTTTCTAACCCAATTTTCATTTCTGTTACTGCAATAAAACACAGTAGGCCTATTATATAGTGTATTATATAGACATTGTTTTAAATTCATTTTTCTTAAACACTGTGGTAATACAAAGGCAATTTTTAGCATTTGACAGGTTAACCGAAAAATTGGTTATCCAGAACAGCTCTTCCCCCTTTATTTCGGTTAACCGGGGTTCTACTGTAAGTGGAAAATGAAATACAAGTGTACTGTTGGCCGAGTTACCTGTAGTTGCTGCTTGAGGTAGGCCTGGTGTGGATGTGGAGGTGTGTGTGACCGAGGAGAGTTGGTGGCAGGCGGAGGTGCGGGGGGAGTGTTGGCGGAGGTAGGCGGGGCAGAGCTGGGTTGTGTTGGTCCTCCTTTGCCAGGTCCCAGGTGGTTCATACCTCCAGGTCCAGGAGACCCAGCTCCCCAACCCTACAAAACACAGACTACATCAGAATCTTGATGAAGATACAAGTAATCGTTTATTTAAAATCGAGGGATTTCATTATGTGTTACAGCCTTTGACTACAGATAGAACTACACCTTCCCTTCCTAGGTTAACGTTGTATATCTAGTGCGGCCTTGGGCTGCCTCAAGTTAGGGTGGCGAGGACTATAGCCAAGTAAGCAAAAATTGACAAAGTTGTTAGCCCATCATCAGAGAGCAATAATAAACCACTCATTTCTGTTGAATACGCTATCTTTAAAAAAGTCAAACCGAGAGGACAACGTATTGTAAAGTACAGTAGACTCCCTCTTATCCGGACTCCTCGGGAATTAGGCCAGTCAAGATAACAGGTTTTCCGGTTAACCCGACGTCCCAATAACTTAATAAAACGGACCGTTTAAATGCATACTGTATACAGTATTTGACTTAAATTTAGGAGAGCATTGTATTTAGACAAGTGATAGCTGGTCTCGAATCTTTCCCATGAGAACAGTCGTTTCAGTACCGCCCACTTCCTGGTGATCTAGTCCGGTTAAACCAATGTGCTGATAAAAATTTTCCAGTTAAAGAGATGTCATTTCCGCCGAGTGTAGTCCGGTTAAACCGATGTCCGGTTAAAAGGTGTCCGGATAAGAGGGAGTCTACTGTATAGCATATTTTATGTTAAATAAAAAATCTGAAAAAAAGGTTAAGAAGAAAAAGAACTACCTTTAGCGCTAGACAAAAAAAAAAAAGGATCATTGACAGTACAACAGGTATTTCAATTTTTTTTTCAAAAAAATGTGATCCAGAGGTTAAACGTGTTTATTTAAAAGAACCATAGACAGTAGCACACTATCAGGGCTTATTTAATTATGTTTTTTTTTTTAAATCCAAATTGATTTACAGATTACCTACCCTTTGGATGTATCCTACATTGGAATACATAAAAAGATTTAGTGCCCTTCGCCTTCATAGATGATCTAAAGCAATTAAGCATCCTGCTTGAACGAACCCTACGTGTGTGAGACACATAACTATTACTGCTATAAAATGTAAGAGTGTTTCCAAAAAGAGTTAATCATTAATAATTGTCGTATGTACCTGAGCGATTGTACATACCTGGTAGCCAGGGAACTGAGAGTGAGGTGTATGGTTGGGCAGAGGTCTCGGAGGGTACTGAGCCCCTGGTGGTAATGCACTGTTGCTCTGCGGCTGACTGCCGTAGCCTTGGTAGCCCTGCGGCCTCGGACCATAGTTGCCTGTGAATCACAACAATAATTAGAAAACTCTGCAGTGCTATGACACTTCAAAGGGTAAATTTAGATACTAACCTGTCCCAGGGTTGGGCCGTGGGACTTCTATGTCCAGAAATAAGTTTCGAAGTTTAAATTCAATTCATGGCAAACGACTCAGACACATACCTCTCGAGGGATTCAATGAAATTGAAAAATGACCTTCACAATTGTATTTGTCTTGAAGTTTGTCATAAAACTTCAGTTGACAATTAATCTCGTTCCAGGTTTTGGCCATGCTGGAATACTGAAAATTATAAATTGCTGAAAGTCTGCTAAAACTACCACTATTGCAGCTCCCAAGTCAGTTGATTGCTACCATTGTCTGCCTATCTCTTCAGACTCTGCCACTTGCTTAGTTTCAGACTCTGCCCAAAGTTAGGTTATCATTCCTGTTTCTGATGATTGCTCCCAACTCTTTTGACTGCTATTTTATATTTAAAAAGGTTTTCAAGAATTTGTTTATAGTTCATTCAACATATAATAATGCGTTATAGAAAGTGCCAGACCAACTAATACCATAGACTAAGCAACACAAGTAGACTCATCATCCCATTGTAAATTTTGAAGCTTATTTTTTGTGTCTAGTTCATGTACACAGTGATCGCTGGGGTGGACAAAATTTTGTTTCTATATTATTTTAGGGTTATTTTCATGATGCTTTACTATTTTGGTTACATAATTAGGAGACCATTTTTTGTTTATGATTATATTGTTTTACTTGCTTAAATGAGGTTTTAAAAATAACAAAGAAACAGATTGTAAACAAAACACAACCTCTACTAGTTGGACATACAAAACTAACCAGAAAATTGGCTTAAGCTGTTCCATAAGGATGACAAATCTACTAAGGGAGTATGCTTTATCTGCGCTAATACCTCATAAGAAGGCTTTTACATAGTTGGTTTGAATTATTTACAATTTTCACTACTTTATCACTGAATCTACTATCCATCACGACAATAAACGTACTTAAGACTCTTTTGATCTCTTCTACTACCAGTTACCATAGTTATTTAATGGAAAAGCCTACCTTGCTGAGGGTAATGCTGCTGGTAGGAGGAGGGAGGGTGGGGAGGCATGGGCTGTCCTCCCATCCCAGGACCTCCCATCTTGTAGTGCATGTGCTGCATGCCTCCTGGTCCTGGGTAGCTGCCTGCAACATCCACTAGACATCAACAATCTAGACATTCAACACAACTGACAACATCTACACATAGAGCCCATCCCAGGACCTCCCATCTTGTAGTGCATGTGCTGCATGCCTCCTGGTCCTGGGTAGTTGCCTGCAACATCCACTAGACATCAACAATCTAGACATTCAACACAACTGACAACATCTACACATAGAGCCCATCCCAGGACCTCCCATCTTGTAGTGCATGTGCTGCATGCCTCCTGGTCCTGGGTAGTTGCCTGCAACATCCACTAGACATCAACAATCTAGACATTCAACACAACTGACAACATCTACACATAGAGCCCATCCCAGGACCTCCCATCTTGTAGTGCATGTGCTGCATGCATCCTGGTCCTGGGTAGTTGCCTGCAACATCCACTAGACATCAACAATCTAGACATTCAACACAACTGACAGCATCTACACATGGAGCCCATCCCAGGACCTCCCATCTTGTAGTGCATGTGCTGCATGCCTCCTGGTCCTGGGTAGTTGCCTGCAACATCCACTAGACATCAACAATCTAGACATTCAACACAACTGACAACATCTACACATAGAGCCCATCCCAGGACCTCCCATCTTGTAGTGCATGTGCTGCATGCCTCCTGGTCCTGGGTAGTTGCCTGCAACATCCACTAGACATCAACAATCTAGACATTCAACACAACTGACAACATCTACACATGGAGCCCATCCCAAGACCTCCCATCTTGTAGTGCATGTGCTGCATGCCTCCTGGTCCTGGGTAGTTGCCTGCAACATCCACTAGACATCAACAATCTAGACATTCAACACAACTGACAACATCTACACATAGAGCCCATCCCAGGACCTCCCATCTTGTAGTGCATGTGCTGCATGCCTCCTGGTCCTGGGTAGTTGCCTGCAACATCCACTAGACATCAACAATCTAGACATTCAACACAACTGACAACATCTACACATGGAGCCCATCCCAAGATTCAACACTAATCGCTGGGTGTCTAGGACAAATTCCAACACCACCCTCTCGTCCTCAATATACTACAACACACTCACGGTGGAGACCCTGTGCCATGTGAGATAATAACTTCCGCAACAGTGTTTGCCGTTCGACTCTTCCTTGCCATCACAAGTATATTTCCTTAGCCATACATATACACACGCACAACGTCCTAGAGCTGAAAAAAGAGGGTCGTCCCATCAGCAAGTTTCCTCTTTCCCTTACTTCCCTGTGATCTATCCTGGATTTACTCATCCTGTTGGCATCCATCCAAATTGTTCATTCCAAAGCTTTGCTACAGACAGGTAGACCAACATGAGTTGCACACTAGACCTAACAAAGGCATGATTCAATCTTCAGAGCTGTCTCCAGGCTGGGGAAGACAACATCTTAAGACAACTCAACCATTAATCAGACCTGATGACCAATTGCAATAGGCCTTTGATAGGCCCTAACCACAAACATGTTTAAGGTAAACAGAACACTTGCTTATGGGACGACTGTGGACTTTCATCTCTAGAATGTTGTGCAGGAAATATATTTGTGACAAGCAACGAAAACCTGCAGCGGCGAGCACTGTGCAAAAATTTCAAACAGGGCAAAAGGTATTCCTCCACTGTGAGCGTTGTAGCACATGAGGGCGAGGGGGCCATGATGGGCTTTCCTCCGGACACCAGCGATTAGTGCTAGACACCACTGAAGTGTACCATTGAATGTTACCTCTGTACCTTTCTACTTTTCGGTGCCCTAACAAAGTAAGTTGCAACACTTGACGGATAGTTTTTAACCATTCTTGTCAAGTCGTAATTATAATACAGTACTTGCAAAAAGAGTTGTAAGTGAAGGTTAGGTCATAATCCTCATTACAGTTAGGGTTGTTTACGACAAGCAGCATGATAGTTACCCTGATTGGAGACGGGTGAGTGACTGATGCGTGCCGGGGGTTGACCAGGCGCTGAACCTCCGTCAGACTGGCTAGACGACGGCCGCGGCGGCATCGGAATGTTTTGTTGTTGACCTGTAATACAACATAACGTTAGTGAAACTGAAATTAAATTATAAAAATGTATTTTTAAACGTGGATTTAAAAGGTTTTTGGTACTCCCAACAAGACTAGTGGTGATACGAACTTAACTATTCACATACTCCAAATTTTCCTTGAGATGACAGTCAAACAGAAGTTTCAATTTCATTGTTTATCATTTGCTGAACAAGCCTCATACAATAAATAAATGAAAATAATGCTACTATTATGCCTAATTCAAATTTTCCTTAAAATCATAAACAAGACAAAAAATAGTGGTTCTCGAGTATCCCCCTTCTCTGACTTCTCAAATCAAGAATGATGAAACGAATTAGATACAATATTATGAAAGAAGCATATGAATGTAGGAAAGAGAAAATAGTCATAACGTACTACAACACCTAACTACTAAATCACAAGTTACAAATTTAAAATGTACAAATAAAAAAAAACTGAAAGAAACTGTTTTACACAAAATCATTGATAGCCACAACAAAGCCAAAGAATGTGACCCCAATAAAGACCTGACCAACTGTCCAAGAATTTAAAGGTAACAAGTGTCACTGATTATTCTTAAAGTGGATAGACTGGTACAGTTTGGGCTGGAGTTCCCCTTTAGTCAAAGCAACAATGCACTACCCACCCCCAGGTCCCAAATCAAACTGCAAGAGAACATGAATCTTTCTCTCTCTCTCACTCCCCCTTCCCCCCAACCACTCATCCCTTTCCAACTATTACTACACCCTTCATTCATAAAAATCTGATGCTGATAACACAGCTTGACCCTAAATAAACATGTTTCAACTGATTCTGAAAATGGGGAATTTTTACAAAAAATTAAAATGTTTATGGTGAGAACTGATTGGGAAGAACATTTACAAATGGTTAGGAATTTTTAAGCCCATGAAATGTAAGGATTTTTTTTATAAAGGTTTAAGTAAAAAGAGTCACAGTACAATGATCCCCCGAATCATTCATATTTCATAAAAGTATTTTATAACAGTGTCCATTTAGTGTGTTGGAAGTTTCAATTTGAATATGCTATGAAATGTTTTGTTAGGACAGTTGCAACATTTTCAAGGGTGTAAACAACTGATAACTATTTGGAATTTCCACAAACTATTGGAAATGTTTTGTTAGGTCAGTTGCAACATTTTCAAGGGTAAACAACTTAATAACTATTTAGGATTTCTACAAACTAACTGCTAAGCCTTATTTCCATAGCCTGTTACAATATTTAAAATAGTTATTTAGACATAATCTCACCTATTTTTACAAGTGGGCAAGGTTCTTAAGCAGTTACAAGTTAAAGGGGTATTTTTAAGAAGGCTGGGAAGGCTGCCAGTATTAACATATTCCATAAGCAAATGAAGTTGATGTACATCACTGTTAGCTTGTATCAGCCTTATCCCGTCTTATCAGTGACTTAACTTTACAGGTGGACTGCAGTTGCACTGGTCAGTTTAGTTTGGGTTTGTAGGTAAGGTTGATTTAGGTTGGGTTAAGTTATGTTAGGTAACAACGAATATTGGGCAACCAAAATAGTGCATCAATCAATCAGTATAAGTAGCCTCGCCTTACATAAAGGAAAAGATATTCTAAATACCCCCGCCGCAGCAAACCTGCAGACTAAGCGAATTTCCATATACACAGCTGGAATTCCACTAAATTGTTCCCTTAAAATTGTCAGATTTATTTCCTATTTAAACATCATTAATATTAATTAGTACTTAAGTTTGCTGCTACAGGGAAGAAAATAGGGGGGTTTTATTGGAATATTAATAGCTCAGTATGAAGTAAACAAAATTTCAAAATTTCATTAATATATGTCCATTCACAAGCAAGCTACAACACTGTATTTATTCTCCATAAGAATAACATGGTAATTTTAAATTTACATTATGTTGTGATTTTTCCGTAACCGTTAGGCATGCAACAATGCTTCAATATACAAAATTATTTGTTTTTTTTGAGCTCTACAAAATGGTTTAGAAAGAAATTGCAAAATTTTATGTTTTCAGGGTGAAAAATTAGAAAAACCCATTTTTACCCCATAACACCCCCCATAAACCCCCGTTCCCATAGTCCAATCATGCTGGTTTGAGAACTCGTTTGAATAAATGTAGGTTTACATGTTTATACCAAATTTCATCAAAATCGGATCATTTTTGCTCGAGTTATCGCGCTAACGGACACATATATAAATATATATAGATATATAAATTTGAACGGATGGTGTTTTTGGCCTCTGGGGACCTCAAAACGAACAAATAAATCGGTCCCGGGTCCAGGTCTTACCATGAGACCTACGGTAATAGCTTATTCCCTATATGGGAAATTCGCTAAAAGATCAACACCAGAACAACATGAAGCCTACCAAAGGTGGGCAGGTAAACAGCTCACATAAATACAGGGTATTCCATAGATAAAGGGCTAAACTCAATTGAGAATATCTGGTCAAAAAAATGTTTTTGGGCAGATTACATTCTTGTTTTTCTTTTTTTATCCTGCCCCATCTATGGAGCCATTTTCCAAAGTTCAACTCATTACTTATGGTGTATGTGTACTGACCACAGACGGCTGGAGACATGGACCTGGACCCGGTAGAGCCTGTGGGCGAAGGTGTCGGCCGCATGCCCTGACTGTTGGGAGTGCCCGGCGCGGGCCCGCTGCTGCTGTCATTGCTGTTCTGGCCTGTCAAGTCCTGCAACAAAACATATCACTACGTTAGAACTACCATAGACAAGTCCCCAGCAAAGCTAGAAGTTACTGATTACATTACACTTACAGTCAATAGTCTGCATGATAGAACTCTCTGCATACTCTACCTCTAACTGGGGACTGACCAATGGGTTTAAGCCTGGGCCAGTCCCAGGTAGACGGAGAGTCAGGATACAGGTTCCATCATACAGACTGTAGTAAAGCCAAGGTATGAAAGTGAAGATTTAGGAGTAGGGTATTGGGTAGTAGACTAAGTCAGGGGAGGAAATTAGAAGTACTCAGCAAATGTACCAAGAAATCGTTTTAATATACTGAAATGTTGTCATCGAGAAGATGGTATGGAAAAAATTGAGGTTTTTGAGGAGATAGTTAAAATGAACTGGATAGGATAGGAGTCTTATATAAATTATCCTTCATCGTACTCTACTATTGTACTGTTGTACAGCCAACTGAAATGAGGGATGGAAATGAAAGAATAGATTTGTAGTGAGTAGAATCGATTGAGATAAGGACGACATGATTTAGTTAAAAGGATGAAATAGATGATTGAGAAAAGATGTATAGAGGCCATAGCAAAAAGGGGAGGCAAGTCTGCTTCTTAGTTATACAAAAACACTGTTACAATAAGTAAAACAGGTGTTCTATTACGTGGAATTAAATAGCTGGTAAAGATTAAATATATGGAATCCAGTATTATCTCAAGATTACATACATATTGCTGAACACAGGTTCATAATTAAGTTAGCACGACTCACATAAATAAGGAAAAACTGGCTTAGCAAGGATAGATCATTTTTACGCTGCATCGCCAAAAGAACATAGGTATCGCAAACCTTCCATGGGTTTTAATAATGATATTGCAAGTTCCTATGGTGGTTTTTTTGGTGGCAATCTCAGTGTTGTGTAAACTACAGAGCCATATAGGGAACTACTCAAAGTAACCATTAACACGTGCCAAACCCTAACACCACTACACACAACACAAACATTGAGGGACTGTAATGACTGCAAAACCAAAGCAGATGAAGAATATTAAAAACGAAATTTGAATGTTACCAAATGGTTGTGGTTATCAATTGCACCTCCTAGAGACAGCATAAATGACCCAAGCATTATACTAACAATAGCCTATCCTAAAAAATTACAGTAGGATATTTTAATTTGTGATACTCGTATGAGGGGTCGTCGGTACTCAGTTGGTGCATGTGATGCCATAAACAGACATAGGGAGCAAATGGTTTAACAGGTTCATAATTTAGGGCAATTTACACCTAGATTTACTCCAAGTGTAAACATGATCAGTAATGAGTTAATTAGCAGCTGTTAGGTAGGCATTGGATGTGAGGGCATGAAATGACAATATTTATTACAGTCCGTCAAACATTCGGTATTCTGTCCCTGGTTGACTCATTGAAAATGGTCTACGAACTAATTTCATTTTGCGTTAGTTAACACGGTGTTAGAATGTTTTTGTGGTATAAAAAACATCTACAAAAAGCATAATTTAGTTTCCGAAACATATCATTCTGATGTATGAAATAATTATTTTAGAAAATACCTTCCACGGTTCGGAAGCATAAAAAACTCTACAAGAAAAAATTCTACAACAAAGAATGTAAGTTTCCCAGTGGGTTCGCGCCAGGCCGGGCGGTATCTGAAGGTTCGATCGACTGACGTTGTTTTCTCGACCAGACCCAGCTGAATAATACACAAATCTAGTGATGTGACGAGTTGAGTTGGCGAGTCGAGTTGACTCGAGTCAAGACCCGAGTCGAGTCAACTCGAGTCAACTCAATTCCAACTCGAGTTCTTTTACGAACTCGTACGGAGATTGCCGAATCTACACGAACTCGTAACGTTACGAGTCCGACTCGCAAAAGCCGAGTCAAGAAACCGAACTCATACGGAGAAAGCCGAACCTTAACGAACTCGGGACGTAACGAGTTGACTCGAGTTTACTCGCACTCGCTTTCGGCCAATAGCGTCACAGCTTTACGAGTCAACTCGCATAGATTCAACGCTATTGGCCGGTACCGAGTCGGCCGACTCGCAAAACTAACGAACTCGTACGGAGAATGCCGAACTCACACGAACTCGGAACGTCTCAAGTCGAGTCGAGTTGACTCGTAAAGCTGACACGCTATTGGCCGGTACCGAGTCGGCCGACTCGCAAAACTAACGAACTCGTACGGAGAATGCCGAACTCACACGAACTCGGAACGTCTCGAGTTGAGTCTGACTCGACTCGTAACTCGAGTTCACGGCAGTTGGCGAGTCGAGTCACTCGAGTCAGGAAAGTACCCGACTCGTCACATCACTACACAAATCACCGTCAAAGTGCCGGGGGGAGGGCGGGGGGCAGCGAGGGGAGGGGATATAGGGAAAGTGATGTCATTAAAATCAGACACTACGGCTCAACTCGGCTTCTACACTCCATTTCACATCCATCTCACCTTACCCGATGAGGATAAACATTTTTTACAATTTCCGTCAATTTTCGCCGTTTCAAAACGCTACATAATATTACTCGAGTACTGTACAAGGTTCCTCCCCCGCTCGACAACTTGGACCGGCCCGACTCGGCACAGCGTCTCCTATATAACCTCGCGTCGAGGAGGCGCGTGAGGTACGGTCGCCGCGCCGCTGCCGACACCAGCTACTAACCGGCCGATAAATCGCTTCACAAACACCTGTATTATTAGCTTACTCGCTCATTTCACTGAAACAGCTGTTGGGCTAATTCCCCCCCCCCTCCGGGTCCACGTTATTGTGACAGCTCCGGTGTAAATCAGCCACGGAATGTTGAATGTTCTCGGATGAATGGGAATGTTTATTGTTTACCTCCGCACCTACTACAGCGTTGATGTTTGTTATCTTATCTAATTGATTGTCACGGCCAAACATGTGTGAATGAAATGCGGAGTGACGAAACCACTAACAGATCAATGATCGAACGTGAGCGAGATCGAGAATCGAAGACTGCCTAGTGGAGTTGGAAGTATGTTTTCATGTTATACAGTATACGTTCCTGTTATTCAGCGTAGTGTGGGTGTGTTATACTTTATAATAAGGTACTGTACTGCAAAATAAAAATACACACAATTCAATTTTAAAGGTTGTATAGGGTAATTCAATAGTTTTCACTGTACCCCAATTAAAAACTTGCCCAGCAATAAATAAGCTGATAAAAGAATGTTTTCATCAGACAAATTTCCAAAACTATCAGAATTATTCACATTGAGTGCTGAAACAATATTTCGATAGAGGATCAGAATTCCATCCCAAATACGGGTTAGTGTTCCTGTAGGATATAAATATGAACGTTTTTGGATTTTCACAAACTGCCGTCTCTATATAAGCACTATAGGTACGAAAATATTGGCATTTTATCGATTACAAGAAAATAAAAAAAATGTAAGAATATGGAATGCAAATTTTAGGGACGATGTGAGAGTCTTGGAGATCGAGGGGTATTTTGAAAGATTTGATCTTGGAAACATTTGAAGGAGTTAAAGTAGAACTAACTGGGATTGCAATACGGAAATCCCGACATGTCTGTGATTGTAGTGTAATCGTATAACGGATAAAAATGGGATGTAACACGGATAATCGTAGTTTTCTACAAAAATACAGAATATCCTTCATCGTATACTGCACAAACTATAGCAAATAAATAGCCTTCAACCTCCATCATTTGACGATTCATGTTCTGAAGCAGGTCTGCAGCATCGCATCCAGCGGACCAAGACTGAAATGCCGTTCATCAGGCAAAGAAAATCCCGCTGGCTGTCAGTATATCCCGCGTACACTCAATAAAATTTTCCCTCATTCCACATGAATTCAATTGAACATTATTGCTTCTTTTTCGTAAGCTGAATTTTGTTGATACAACTGTTTGAACTATTTTTAAAAAGTGACTCTCAAAATTATATGCAACAATTAATTTTCAAAGCTTATTGCTATAAGATCCAATAATTAGCTTAGATGGAATACAGGACAATCAGTACAAGAAAACAAATAAAAAAATAGCTGTTTAAAAATCCCGTTTTCTGGATGAAACTCCCGCGTGTGGAACCATTGAATATGGATTGTTATCGGTATATTGAATATCGACAGGAAGTTGCAACCGAGTCTCCATTTCGCTCCGGCGTGATCGTCAGCGATAAGTGCAAAACTGTCGATTATGCCAATGGATCGTTTGGACGGAATGCTCTCAGAGTGGTGATCAGAATGTGAAATGGGTAAAGTCTCATCTGAAGAGATCCGCTATCCAGTATCGTATACTAGTGATGATCTATACATGTTTAGCCTATCCTAACCTAATTCAGCCTAAAACCTGACTAAAACAAGATTAAATTAATAAAATCTGCTAAAGATTAGGTAAGAAAAACGATGACTCAGACAGAAAAAGTTGGAGTGTCGATTCTAGGAACGATGTATACTACTATGTTTTATATCGTTGACTGAAGTTTAAATGACAAAAGCTCGGCGAGGATTGAGGCTTTTCACAACGAACACTCAAAGTAGAATTGTAAGCGGAATATGAATGCAGTCCTGTACAAGTGTGAAATGAAAGTAACTCTTTGTACAGCTCTATTGACTCAAAGGTTCTTTATTTTGGATTGGATCAATACATAGAACCCCATGATATACAGGGTGTTTCTTTAGTGGATTTAGTTTTAAGTGAGCGGTGTTTTAAGTTTATAGTACTGCTTCACACTACATTTTCTCCTAAATCACGAATACATCAAATAAGAATAGTGATCGTTTGATTCTACAAGCCAATAACTGTTCCATGCGAACAGCAATCTCATCAACAGCGAATCGAGCGAGTCTTCAGTAGTGGAAGCCATGTTGGATTTTTTCCCCATAAGAACAATGTTAAACATTACATCATTTGTGGACACGTAACGGCGTTATTTGTTAAGATATAGCTTTGAAATTTATAATTTGTAGTTTTAACATAATATACTCGTGACTGAG